ATAGACGAAGCTAATGAGAAAGGCCTTGGTGACTCATCGATGGTACCAGACAAACTTTTTGCTGACTTCTTCAGCAAACAAATCAAGTTGTAATGGCGAACCAGAACATGTTGGTAACTTCTTTTGCAACTAATCAATTCGGTTGCAAAACACGAGTCGATCGCGGTACTAGAATAACAAATTTCTTTCTCACCTTACAAAATGGCCGATTTGTATGCAATGGCGAGCTGATTTACCAGTACCAGGACCAATTCTTGGGTAACTCCTCTTGCAAATGTCCAATCCACCAAAAACAGAGAGCTATGGTACCAGACCAATAGCCTAGGTTTATAGCTTCTTCATGAACTGATCAATCCAGTTTATAATGGGGAGCTATATGGTTCCAGACCAACATTGTGTTGATAGCTTTTGTGGGGAACTGATTGAACAAGTAAACATACCAAGCCATGGTAATAGACCAAAATCTTGGCAAGTCCTTTTGCAACTGGGCGATCTAGTTGAAATGGAAAGCTGTGGTATCAGACCATGCATTGTGTGAACTTCTTCAGTAACTGACCACCAATCCAGTTGCAATGGTATGGTGACGCACCAGCATTCTGGTAACCCCTTTTTGTAAACAGCCAATGATGAACTTAACTGTAGAGCCAGATCAATAGTTTGATATACCTCTTCTTAGGACGGACTAAAAAGTGGCATTTTCGAGACAGACGCTTGGTGGTTCACTATATTTTTAATCGCTCGTATGCAGATACAACTCGCTGTTAGGATTTTTTTAGGTGTTAAGGAATGGCATTTTTAAAGTCCTTTCAAAACTGTGTATCTTTAATCTGTACGTATTCCTGTGTCAAAGGCGTTAAAGCATTAAACCAACGATATACGAAGTAACATTTCCAAGCCAAAGTACCAAACGCTGCAGCTATTTTGTTAAGCCATCATTGACAATGCCTAAAAACGCATTTCCAGCAGCAAACACAACGATCCGGAAAGGGTACCCGATGCATGTACGTATTGACAACCCTTTGCTATTTGCAGATTTCGGCTATTGACAGAATATTTTACCTTGCACGCGAAGCTATAGGGCAATCGCTCCCACAGGGGTTGTTAACGAGTGCGTCCATACCATAGGGTACGTGGGTTAACAGGGCCAGACGGTTTTTTTTCAGCCGATCAAGACAACGTACTGTTATTGATACATAGGTACTGTTGTCGCAGTTTATTTGACAATCGGGTGCATTCAGCTTTGAAATACGTAACAAATATTATTAACCGTAACAATCGAGGCATGTTTGCGCCTAAAATCCTCCACTGCGCAAAAAACCAACGACCCTTCTTTGCACTTCATCTCCCAGGGACACGAAAATGCATGTAGGTCTAGCAGAATCATGGTAGAATTGACCTCAAACCAGTAAACCTCTTTTAAACCTTCATGTGGACTTTGAAGGATTGGGAGGTTTTTTTTAAATATACATCCGCTCACAAATCAGGCAAACAAAATAGGCTGTAGTATACTACAGCCTATTTTGTTTGTCTGATTTGTGAGCGGATACTTTTGTGCGGATGATTATGGAAATCGTTAAAGGCACGTAGGGACATTTGCAATTATCTCGTATGAAAGTGAAGACAGGACTGGTACCAAATACCCTGTGGGATTAGTCCGACCGAAATGGTATCATTCGGACGAAAATATTCATTGACGGTGGTTTAATAAAGTGTGCCCGCTGGCACATGCAGTCGTTTTTATACGTGCGTTATAGAAACGGAATCCAGTTACGAGATGCCCCAAATTGTGCATACGCTTTGTCCGTTTTCTCAAAAAATGTATTGTATCCGCTGAGCTGAAACTTCAACATGTTAGTTGTTATGCACCTTAATTTTTGAGTACCTTTATTAAGATTTTGAGCAAGTTTTGAGACTTCGAACAACAAAATGCACAAAGAGCAAATGATTTCATGATGTACCTTTACTACTCGTGCTTTTCAAAAGACCAAAAAGCAATTATGTACGATTCGTTCTTCGTCAATCCAGAATAAATCCACTACAACACCTTCGAAGAGTCCCAATTATCGAACAGTTTTGAGACTGACAATATTATTATCCTTTAAAGGCATCCCATCTGTTATGCTTAAAAGGGGCACACTGCACCCCGAATCGTCCAAACCAGGAAGCAATTCCATTTGATATACACATTTGTACATCACTGATAAAGGCAGAGGTACATATTTACGTTTTCTCGAAGGTTGTTATTTGCGTATTCTGATCTGTGTGATGCATCCACTTTTCTCAGTTGCAACTATAGTTGCCAATTTACCACAAAAAAAAAAGAAAATTAATAATAAAGGTATAAGCCCTCGGTGCATTTTTTTCTCTTGTGGCCGACATGACCAACAAACATGGATTAATTTCCGAGTTATGGAATACGAACTATTAAGACCTGACAGACCGATCCGCTGCGGGGCCGGCGCGTCTCGTCTAGGGGCAAGTCGTCTTTATTCTATACCCGCTCGGTCGGCCGGCCGTGCGCGTGTCAGAGACCCTTACACGCTTTCGTCTGAAAGGCTCTCAAAATCTGTCGCATTTTTTCCCTCCAATTTGCAGAGCGCCCATTACCGCTGTTCTCGCCTCTAGCAAGACGGAAATCCCCTTGTAACGGGACAGAGAGTTTTTTTTTCTCCTTTCTTGCTTCATGAGAAGCTGACAAGACGAGGCAAGTGTGAATATCCGAATAATTTGCAACCAAAAAACGTGTTCTACGGATGTTTTGCACTTTGAAAGAGTGACACCAAGTCAAGATGTTTCTCTCCTACTTGACGTCATTGGTCTAACTGTGCTCACTCGCAGTTACGCCGTGTTTAATCAGCTAAAATCTTCAAAACAACATATTAATACTGTCTGGCTTCTTACATTAATGACGGCGAATTTAAAAAAACAACAACCAAGAAAACATCAGCAAGTTTTTCGAATGCCAAGAAATCTCGGTGAAAGTAGCCAAGAAATGCAGCATTGTATTACATTCAAGAAAGAGTTAAAAATGTCAAAGAGAGATAAGGCATAACAGCGAATGGTTTACCGTTTCAAAACCCAAAACCCGCGTGTAATATAAACTATATTTGACTTCAGGAGTAGAAATTTGATTTTATGACATCTTAGAAATGTCGGAAATGAGAAAGTTGTGCTGGCTCACTTAAGGTTCTAGACGTACACTACACTTAATAACCAGCTCGACGTCTAACTTCAAAATTTGATCAGATGGAAATCTTTAGTAACTAGGAACGTTTGGAGGTTGCTGGGATGCAAGGGAGTTTTGAATAAATCTTGTGGGTGTGTACAGGCGGACTTATATCGAAACGATGTCGTTAAGTCGCAGAGGAGTGTGCCTTCAATAAAATACAAACCGGCCATTGACTGTTGGTTGGATTGCTGGACAAACACCACAAGTCGTGTTCTCCTTCTGAACAAGAATGACGCTTTTCCGGGTCAAAGTGACATTTGTATCATGACTACAGTGTCACGCGGTGTCCAGTCCCCCCCCCCCCTCTCCCGGCCGAACAATTTTAAGATTTTGCTATATGGTCACCCACCCCCATCCCCCCACTCGCCGACGACACGGATTGATATTGTAGCTACGCCACTACACAAAAGTCAACAGCAACCGTAAAGGACAGACATTCAAAAATCTAATCACAGAAAGCGAAGGTTCCAAAACGAAGTATCAATCGGTGGAAGGCACTGCCTTTTATTTTTTTTTCATTAATGAATTTATGTGATATTTTATTGCCAAACATTTACATCCGGTTCAGTGGTATGAATCTGACATTACAAGAAAAAAACAACCAGAAACAGATTCGACAAAATATATTTCAAATCGACTTAGAAACCGACAGACTGAGTCCAATGTTTGCACAATATGGAATGCTCATGCACATTAAAATCCCTTACAAACTCACCACCAACACGAAATAGCCAAAATGAGTGAAACTACATGTACAAACTTCATTCTATCTCTAATGGGGAAAAGGCCCATTTTATCCAAAGCAAGAATTGTAAGCCAGTTGTACGACCCCGCATTAGTAGGCGGACTTTCCTTTCTGGTCTATGTTATTGCCTACATGAAAAAACTAGTCATTTTATACATGTACAATATTTTTTTGTGTGTGAGGTTATTCGTTTTCAATCAAATTTCCCCTCTGCAGCATTATGATATACAGAGTGAGTAAAAAAAAAAGCGGAACCCAAAACCCCCCCAAAATATATTTCATATTTGACAAAATATGTAGCACAAAACATAATGACTGAAAAGCCAATTTCATAAGCTACTTTTAGATGAAAAAGATACTGAAATTGCTCAATCCGTTCAAAGAATATGTTTCACCATTTAAACGCAATGACCCTAAAACATGTTTCGTCTAAAAAAAGCAGTTTCTTGTGTATTCTGATTGCTTGGAACAACAAAGAAAATGACACAGAATACTTGTTTCAACAATTGTCAACAACTGTAGTGCACAATATCTTTATTAAAAACCCTGTTTAGGCAACAATATGATTTATAAAATCGGAACGGAATGAGCAATTTCAGTAATTTTTTTCATCCGAAAGTAGCTTATGAAATTGGCTTTCCAGACATTATTATGTTTCGCGCTACATATTTTATTTAATACGGAATACAATTTTTGGGGATCGGGTTCCGCTTTTTTTGACTCGGCAAACGTATTCACTAATACACAGCATACATTTACATTAAAGTCGTATGAAAATAGTTTGGGAATTAATTTTATGAAAATTGCCCATTACAAGGCCCTATTTAAGGGCAACCAGAGAGAGCAACACAAAGAACGGATATCAAAGGAAATCAAAGAAAAAGAAAAATTACTTCCAGCAGATAGGTAGATATTGACGGTACGCTTGAAGTTGAATAGTATTTTGAGTATATTCCAATGAAATTGACGTGAATAAATTAGATGAATAGAAGCCATTAAGAAACGTCTTGACAGAAAGTCATCGAGCACAATACGAAGTGAATCAAATTGTAATTTATTCGTTGGAACTAAAAAAAATATTCAAAATGGAATTGCAATCATCCTGCATTTCACGACAGGTTAGTTTTTTGATAACGTAAGCAAGGAGTAAGGGACATTGAAAAATGTCCAATAATATAGTAAACAAAACCAAAAAATAAACCAGTGATCCTTCTTTTCTTCTAAAGCCTTTCATGAGATTAAAACCAAACATCTTCAAATACATGTACATAAACAATGAAATGCACTGACGATAGAAATGGTTTGAGAATAAAAACCAAGATATCTAATTACAAACAGCACACTACATGCATGAATGTTCTTACATATGTGCACGAAACTGAAAGCTTTTTTTTCTACCCAAGTCAAATGAAAACGTATAAAAATCAAACAAACATCTCACAGTCGGCTGTAGTATTTATAATTAAATTGAACAATGTGGCTGTAATCGAAAGACAAAATGTCGGTACATACGTATTTGTTGAATCTGTTACATTTCTTTAGCATCCCAACAGACCCTTTGCATTTCCGTGGCCATGTTTGAGGGTACATGCATTCTTATTTTGTATTCAGTAACTACGGACGCATATGAGGTCTGCTCATGTCTACCCATATAGACCAAAAGTACACACCACAAAGATGGCAGATACGCAAAGGGTCTAATAAAAAAAGACTACAAGTACCCTTCAAAAATGTATGAATCAAAGGACTCCTTTTAAGACAACATTAGGTATAAAGGGACAAAAGGTTGACAAAAATCAAGGTTTTTAATTTCTTCCTCCTAATCTCACCGAAACGGAAGAGGCACTTTCCCCCGACTCAGAGCTCCGACCTTGGTCTCTCGACGATTAAAAGCAGCCGCGAGAGCTTGGAATTGAATTTTCCCTCGTTGTGGGTTACTATGGAAACGGAGAGGAAATACAGAGGAGAAAAAAAGGAAAAGGCATTATGATGGATCGGGCGATTGCGGGATATGCATTTCGCATGACTGCTTCAAGGATGCGGTTTGAAGATTGGCTTAAACCTAATTCCCTTGACTCCCATTTTTTTTCAAGGAACCTTTCTTAATATTTCCAAATACTAAACTAAGGAGACCAATGGTGCAATTTTTACCAGGAATTTTAAGGGACGTCAAGCCCGTTACATGGCAGCAAGGCTGTGCTTGCCTAAAACCTGCAAAATCCTCCAAAACCATTCCCCCGATGGATTTTGAAGGATTACGGAGGGTTAAGGTTAAGAATGATTCAAATTCACATACATTGTGGAACTACAAGCACTGTTCATGCACATTGACGTCCATAAATACATGCTACTATATAATTCCATTATTATAATATATTTGGTATTATTGTTATTATATTTGTCAAGTGTCTTATTCTATACGTCGGCATTTCATGCCAATAACTCAGTTGAATTTTTGTATTAAATGTTGAGAGCAGAACCAGTAAATAATTGCTACAGATACGTATGAGTGTGATTTATAATGTAAAATGCCCTTAACAGTTTATGCACAAGGCAGATAAACTCTTTTTTCATCAATGATCACACAATAGCTAGCAGGGATGGATTCTGACATTTTTTTGGCCTGAAATTTGAGGTATAAAGGAAATTAGTACACAACAAGTGTTTGGTACCAAGATGTTTATTTACTATTTGAAAAAAAGTCTGAAATCGGGTAATTGCAGGAGGCTTGCAATCCCTGAGCCAGAAAAAAAGTTTCACAGCATGCATATCTGCAATAAAGTTATCCTTCAGTGATTTTGTTACACGGTAACACAAAAGCCAGGCAGAGAGTGTTGAGTGCAATTGCGCATTAACATAATCATACAATGACAGCGTGGATTTTATGTAAAAAAATGAAATTTCGTTGGGAACCATTCCATTTTCATAAAATTCAAGAACAGATGTCACTCTACGCCCTAATAATTCGAGCCAACTGAGCTGTCAATAATATCAATCTGCAGGACGCGCATAAGTGACTCCTTCCAAAAAACATAAACACATTTGAGTGGCGCTAGAAAAATGTTAAGCAGTTGATGCTGGATGTATAGCTTTATTAGACTGTTGTGATGTCAAGCAGACCCAGGTTAAAATAGGAAGCTTCTTCTTAAAGAAATTTTTAAGGTTTTACAAACCTGATTCGGGTTGCAGAAAAAAAATGCCTCCTTGTATGTTCGTGTTTTACATGAGTTGTTTACATGGCTACAACACCAGCTTCCCTTTTACAGCATCTTGACTCTTGTCAAAACATTCAAACAAACAAATGTTTTCAAACATTTGCATTCTTGCTATAAAACTGGTGCCTCAATGCAAATTATGCAACTAAAAACATTCACACCTGATTATCAATAACCACTGTCGTGGGAGACTCTTAATGAATTATTTGGGGGTAACTTTGATGTAGAGGTTTCATGCAATAGACCACTTGCACTGCAGCCATCTTTAAGGTGTGTGCTATTGTTCAACAGGGATACCCATGCGCAGACCTCTAGTGCATCCATTGTTAATGAATTAACATAACAAAACACACCTCAAGAATGGCTGGTGACACGAGGGGCAAACATTCAGTCCGTATTTGAACAATGGTCTACACTGAAATAAAATGTAACCACTTCACACGCGTATCAATTTAGATGACTCATTTCCTAAAAAAGAACTGTAATTTTGATTAAAATATCATATATCTATATAGACATAACGCTCCATGGATGACGTTATTAAAAAAGAGCACCATTTTTACTTAATTAAAAAGTGTGAATAAGCTCCATTGCAACGCGATATTTGCACTTGAAATACAAGTGCAAGCACTTACTCACAACGATCGTCCATTAGATGAAGTTTCACAGTCTTATTCAATTACTCATTCGAGTGCACTAACAACGATGTTGTTAAGACAAACAATTATTCATCAAATTTAGGCAAAATGGAGCTGTCAGATTTCACTTTAATAAGAGTATTAAGACATAGTATGCGACAATCAGTCAAACTAAATGAAGAAAATCCACTGTAAGTAGGCTTAACCTGAAATAAAATGTTAATGCAGGAAGCAATCATTTTTTTTGTCAGTAAAGTTCAACAACGTCATTATTTGAAGATTGATTATCATGACTGAAAGGCCTCCATCACGTCTGAGATGTCAGTTTGAGAGTTACCAGGCATGCAACTGGGAAGTCACACACACAAAAAAGAGGAAATTCAAATCTGTCCAGGACTTTGTACAGTGTTTTTCTCTTTTTATGGCACACATGGGAAGTTAAAACGAGGAAATCAGCTGATCCAAGGAAACGTTGCATGCCTGTGTTCCATTTTGTCTGTACCATCGACATGTATTATCTCTTTGTAAATCATCTGCAGAATATTCAAGTACACAAGCTTTTAAAATTCGGGTTCTTTTTCGCTGATCTCAGAGGGGCAGCCTATGACCTTCTTTGCTCCTGGCTGACTCACTGGCCGACTCACTGACTTACTTGTGACTCAGTCTGGTTTGAACCGGTATAGAAGGCCGGGCAGTGCTATTGTATATGATTACCCCGCAATGGGCCTATACGCCGGCCAATGTGAACACCAGATGCACAAAATGGCTTCCAGTTTAATAACAGCAAAAGCCATTTCGAATCAATTCAATAGAATCGTGTGTGCTCTGGCACCAGCATTATGCCTACTATGCATGGCTTGTCTTTGTTTTGTCAGTAGCGCTGTCCATTTTTCAAGTGTTGTATTTTCTCCATCATACAACTTCACATCTCTTTTTCATACTCTGCAGCTTCGAGACAATCCTATAACTCCATGATCCTATAAATAACAGCCAATTAAACTCCAAACTCAATTTAAGGTCCAGATTATTTTTTTCCAGGTCCTTCAAGTTCCGTAACAGGTTGATTAACATTGCAATCAGCAATACTTCACCTGCAGGACCCGTCTGCCGGTGAATGCACTCGGGTAATAAAAAGTCCCTCCACTGTAAAACCCCACACATCAAATGAATAACAATCGGTAGCCTAGAGCTCCGAGATAATTCTGTGACAATCGCCAGAGACAGGTAAAATCCTCGACCCAGGATTTTAATGCGATCGCTGCATTGCCATGAGCTTCGCTGTAAATCCGACAGGGAAGGGAAAGGCATGTAGCCAAGAGCAGACGCAACTGGATACCCCGTTTTGCAAATCCGCAGTCTGACCTTTTGATCGTTGTAGAACGTGCATACGTCTAATCCCACATTCTAGCATTTTGGCACAAAGACACCAATGTAAACACATTTACACCCTCTGCTTGTCCCTCGCAACATTACATGAACCTGAACTTTACAATTTCACGACGGAATGATAACTAAATACTCAAATTTCTTGAAGCATAGATGAAAGTTTTGGCCATAAACGTACACATGCTTTTTTGTGTGTACACATTCTAGCAGTCTTTTATGTAATGAAATTTCACTTTTTAAGATAACCAGGGTCCAAAAATGTTGTGATCAATTGACAATTTATTGTGAAGTGATGCGTGACTGAAATTAAATGAAACTCATAGGGGTTGAAGCCAAGGGTTTAGGAGTATCTGCACAACCAAACATTTTCAAAATTGATCTCATGGTTTTGTAGTTATTTCAAAAATAGTCAGGACACTTTTTTGGGATTATATACTATGTCTTTCCAGTACAGAAACCATTCAGGGAGCAGATATTGTGGTGATCGAGAGAGTGTCATATTGGGGTGTTCATTTATGGGTAGCACCGGAATTGGGTACCCGATTGGGGGAAAAAACCAGGTAATTTAAAGAAACGCAACCCCAAAATTTCAATTTTGGAAGTTGCTGCACAGATTGTTCATAATTGTCCACATAATACACATGTGTAATACTACCACATCGATGCGTCAATACAGCAAGATACTTTTTTTGTTCATTGCCTGCGAAGTTACTAAGTAATATGTAAAGATGGTTACGGGCACTCGATTTCATAATCCGGTACTGGTTCCTCAAATTGGCGGTCGGGTTCTCGGTTACTGGGTTCTATTGCATAGCCCTAGTTTCGTGGTATCAAGGTAATTCGTTCGCAACTTGCCCTTTCAGTCTGCTTGCAAGGTCATAACCTTCTCAGTGAACCTTAGGGCACCCCACAGGTTTCACTCTTGTCACACCATTAAAGGCCAATTCCGCCGGTTGTGTTCCGCCCTATATTCTGTGTATTTATTCAGATGCATTACCTGATCTTGCTGGTTTTGTGTTAAAGTTTGATCACTTCTGATCACAGCGAGTGGCAGTTTGTTGATAGTGGGTCAAATGTGTTGATGAGAGGGGTGGTCAAACGGTATCGTATTAGGGGGTGGGGGGGGGGGGGAGGTGGGGTGGTTAGGGTACTGCGGTGTGTTTGTGTGCTGGAAAGTCAAGTGAGGGCGCTCTTTATGTTAGACAACCAACGTCCTGCACCATGACAGTGGCTTCAATAATACATGAACTGATGATGCAGCAAGAGAGTGCAAGGCGAGACTGTGGAATGAATGATCACACACCTGCTCACACCTGACAATGACCAAATTTGACAACTTACAATGCAATGGCTTTGAAACGGTCCCTTTTATGGTCGGATCAGCTTGGCAGGTGGCATGGTCAGACTGAGGCTGCGTCCGGTCCATGTATGACCACCAACGCGTACGGCAGATCCAGGGAGGGGGAGGGGCCAACGGGAGCCATTGCCCCCCCCCCCCCCAAAATGCAGCTACTGCGTAAACACCACCCACAAAGGTCAACAAAAGTAATACATTTTATTTTGTTGAAAATTTGATGACCACTGACCAACACTACTTGCCTTTGGCCACCTGACTGTTTGAACCTTAGCAAGGCTTTATAATCAGACCATCCACCTGTCTGCCTGTTGCCTCAAGTGGATGGAATTAACTTGAACTGATTGAACTGCTGCGATGCCAGGCATGTATTTACTAGTCAGGGATTATTTATCATTTGCAAGCCTGAGCCCCTTAAGCCAAACACGGAAAAAATTCATACTGGGCCACCACTCATATTCCTTAATATGACCTGAAAAGTACCAAAAGTTGCAAATCTGATGAAGAAACACTGTTTAAGGAGTGCAAAAAATATTTGGTAATACTTTAAAATGTTCTGTCATGGCCCATAGACTTTGTGCAGGAGCTCTGAGTGGTGGCCCAGTATGGATTTTTTCCCCAAACACAGCTACCTGGATGGGTTTAGGTGGGCTAGGATGGGGTTGGGGTGCCAGGGTGGGATGGGGTAGGGTAGGGGAGTTGGGTATGAATGAGGTGGGGAGCTGGAGTTGGGGTGTGGAGGTGGGTACGTTGGTTGGGTATAGATTATGCTATTCAATATGCAACCAACCCATTTTGTTGAAGTTAACAACATTCTGTGGATTTCGAAGACAGAGATACATGTATATCTATAGTATAGGCGTTACTTTGCCAACTCAGCTAGCTGTACATGTACAGAGACCTTACAGCGTTATACAAAAATTATCAGACTTTTTAATGTCTCTCACAACAAGTTTTTCTCCAAATTTAGTACTCCTACAACAAAAGCAAGTCCAACATATTTGCATCTCCCCCAATTAACGGCTATCCCTTTGTAACTGCTGAGGGGTTACTCCTGCACGTTGGACACTTACCAATCATTTACTGTTTTTTGTAATCGCATTACTAGTTCGTTGGACAACTTACATTGATTGTGCTACTCAATTTTGTCCAGGCAAATTTTAAAGGTGATATGGAACATTTGTTTTTGCTGTAATATTCAGAAATGGATGGATTAGGGGGCAAATATTTTATAGCAAATATTGTTTCACTGACCTGTTTAAGGTTTTGTGTTCATAGATGCTGGGGAAAAAAACCAAGAAAAAATACTGTTCTTGTAGTCTGGTTCCCTGACCCTACTGAGTATAAAAATGGTGCAATATATTGACATCAGGGAACCAGACTAGCTGGCTTGCACTCGTTTACTGATGTGTAACCCATTTCAAACAAAAAAGGGACCCAACTACATCTGGCGAATTGGGAGCAGTATTTGAAAAAAAGTCAGTATTTCTCCAAAGATGGTCGGCTGACCATCGTTGGAAATTGCCACAAAATTCCACTTGTCTTGAAATGACAGCACACGAGGTGTCATGATTTCACAAGATGCTTAAGACTATTATTCACTTACAGTCAAGTAATGTACGGTACATGTATTTCATAATAATTTGGTAGTCTTGTTTTTTTTTATGTTGGCAAATGTTGTATATTCCCTTTAAGTCTAATAATCACCCTTTGCCTGTGCGTTGTGAATTACCTAATTACATCTTCTTCCCTGTGACCTAAAATAACAGCCAGCCAAAGCTTTTTAATAAATTCCGGCAAAGCCTGGGAGTAAACCATACAAGTACGGTGCTGGATCCACAGGCTGACAGCAAAGCCCCTTTTGTGCATATGTTATGCTTTCATTTCCTCTCAAATGCCAGAACAGCAAAGCAAAAACAGCCCCAGTGACAGGTCAAGAACTGCAGTGGGTCAATGACTGTTTGACAGAAACCTGGAGGAATTATCTCAATCTTGAATAATTTCCAAGTTGGATGTTTGTACAATCCTGCCATCTGAAGTGGCCCTACTAGTATGCAGGATTATGCAAATTGAAACAAAGACCTCGCTAATTCTAACCAGGTGCATGTTATTTTCTGTTTGGAATGTCGGTATTTATTGCCAGATTAGACTGTCTCTCTTCATTAAGGTTTGATCGTGCACGCCAACAAAACCTCTGTATTTATATGCAATTGTTTTTGCAATGCAATTAAAACGGCATTAGTAAAGTGCAGTCACTGGTATTAATTTCTGAACCATCCAGGGGCAGGGTAAAAATGCTAATTTCCAAGGTCAGGTTTTATTATCCAAATGCGCATTTAGATTTTATGGGACGTCAGAGAAATAACAGTATGAACCATTATGATAGATCAGTTGCATTTCAATGGGGTGGTAATGGGGTCCGTTCTCCTACCTAGTCCCCACCCCCACATATAAATCCACATAAATAAAATAAACTGGTAAAAAGGAGGCTGCAATCAAAATTGTGCAGTGAGTTGAACTTAATGTTAGAAAGCGGCCCTAAATGCAGCTGCGTAGATATTTTTTTTTAAATCACAAATGGAGTTCCCTGTGTCAAATGATGTCAATGTCTGTTTTCTTTACTGACGTACTACTTCTTTTATAAATTGGGCTTACCTTCATTTTTGCCTTTCGTTGTAACATATTCCTCTGGTTTCAGTAAGTTGTCAGTATCCATCTGTAGAGTGAGTCAAAACAAAAATGTCAACAAATATAAATAGGCCCTACTATCTTCAACATTTGTAAAGTTAAAGTAGTTGGACAGACACCTGTGTACATGTATGTATTAAAAAACTTCCTATTGTTTTATCAGTCATACATGTAGACAGTAAAACATTTCTTCCACTTCCCCTGCCATGCATTTGTATACAGACTAGTAAAAAAACAGTCAGATCACATTCGTGATATACACATGTCCCACTGTGACTAGTCAAATTCTATCAACAGACAAAAGAGGTAATTAACTAGCAGGTGGGTAATCAATCACCTCAAGTCAAAGCATGGCTATATCAAATTAACAGGGGAATTCTTAACTGTTAAAAATAGTCGCTTGATTGATTTGGACTGCTGTGATGGTGTGGCTGAAATTGTCAGCCAGAGAGGGAGGGTTAAAACCTGGGGGAAAAGATGATGGATCTTTGCAGGATGTGGGAAGTTGAGGTGAACATTATCAGAATACAGGAAATCTTGATTACACACTTATGCAAACTGCTTTTGTCTTTGTTTTTGATCACTTTTTAAAAATTATTAATCAGGCTAAGAATTGCTAAGAATTACAACCAGAACAACAAAAGGGTTCAGTCTTTATTTTTTTATCATCTTCTTTTTGAAAATGTTTGATACGTGGAATATCTGAGGGTTTTTGCTTCAGACTTTTTCTTGGAGTGCGCTTTTTACCATCTGAAAGGAAGCCTGCATTTCCACAAAGTGGTTTCGGATTAATCCAGCGAAGAACGGCAACCAATAACAAGAAGAACAATTGATTAATTGAATGGCCTAATAAAAACAGCAGGAATTGCTGTTGGACGACTTACAAAGAGTTCTACTTCCTTGAGTTGAGCTCCCTCGAGTTCAATGGAGGCCCTGAAGGACTGGAAGAAGAGATAGGAGACACCTGACGGTCGTTGGATGTCGCAGGAATAAATAGTACCATCATCAGAACCTGTCAGCTCAAACAGCCATTGCTAGGGGGAAAAAAAACAAGGATTTTGACCTTTTGTTTTACATTTATTTGTACGCTTATTAATTGATAAGTAACATTCTAATATATTTATAAACATTTTATTCCTATTGGGGATGGTTGAATTATTTCTACAAATTTCTTTTTCTCCCAAAAAGCATTCTGATATTTCTATTTTCAAGAAAAACAAACCAACAATTTTTTGTATCACTAATGACTACTCTACACGTACAACTTTCCAATGAGCATTTGCAGATCAGTAAACACAGACATTAAACTGGTGATATTATTACACTTTCCTACAATTTTATAATTCCAGAAAATAGGAAAATTGGAATCAAACTTAGATGTAGATACCATATTGCTGCACAGAAACACTACTTTGTAAAATATGAAATGGCAGCAAAGACAAATGAGAGATGTAGAATATGAAGATCCAAGGACAAACAATGTATGAATTTTTACCCAAAAAAGTTCTCATCCCCAAACAATCCAACATGTTTTAACTTTTTGCTACTTGGTTTACTGTGTCGGGATTCTACTGTGTTGCTACTACTTGTCAATGTAAGATTCTAACCTCATTTGTTCCACCTTGTGCTGCATACTCGAAGGTGCACTTACAGGGCCCCTGAAAAAAAGTAACATAAGAAATGTTATTTAATTTTTTTGATATCATTTCACTCTTTAAACAGACTTGACAAAAATCAGGGTTGTTCAAAATCCATATTTTTTAAAAATATATGTAAACAAATCTTGTTTGAATCAGATTAAAAAAATATATACATGTATATCAGGTTTTTAATTTTTTTTTTGTAATTACCATGCAAATCTTTTAAAAACTATTTTCCTCACAATTTTTTTCAAAGATGGCTGCCATGTCTAAGATGACTGCCAAAGTCTAAGAAGTAAGATTGCTGCCATGGCATGCACAATGTATTTCAAGCATGTCAAGATGGCTTGATGGTGCCATTTAGCAATTTATGATTGTACAAGCCATCAATAAATAGGCCTACACATTTTTCGATATACGCTATGCATCTCGGATGTACATGGATGACAAACAAACCAGGCAATTTGTGTACAAACCAATAGGACTGTGAACCAGTTAAAACTTTCATTTCATTCCTCCTCATTACATATCAAGAATTTAGTGATCATCTTGATTGTTAGTGATCATCTTGTGATTGTCTAGATTTTTAGTGATCAAATTTCATACATTGTTGCATATGTAATTTGAAATCTTATTATATAAAAAAAATGATTATATTTCAATGCTTATAAATCAGAATGAAGAAACTTTTGGGGAATCCCTTTTTGAGATACCAGTTTTATTACTCATGTCTCATGAATATGAATATATGACCCTTTCACCCTGCCAATATTGGCCAATCAGAAAAAGATTTCAAGCCAACGCTGACCAATCACAATTGTTCCTCTAGTCTAAAACCTTTGAATTGCATGATGATAAGCTAAAAAATGTGACTCTAAAGTCTAGTGCTAAAACAGGTACCAAAGTTACATTTTCTTCCACAGCAGGCCTACTATAAGTACTAGTACTACAATAAAGTAATAATTTGTAAGAAAAAAATAACAACCTGGAACTAGACTAGGTACTCAAATTAGTCTCTACATTGTACATAAATTTAAAAAAAGACTGCTTGGGACATGTCGCTCTGAATCAACGTCTGTTTCGTACGCGTGTGTAGTGGTGGTATGTGCCCCGCGACGCGACTCAGTAGGCCCTAGAGCTAATGCTCATCGGGCTTGAATTCGACTTGTCGAATTTCCGATGAGCATGTAAGCTGGAGTTATTATATGTACTCGAGTCTCAAGCTAGTTATATGTACTCAAGTCTCAACTTCATGATAGTACTTTTCAACTTAAACTCTGTTTAGGCCTAGGGGGGCCTAGGCCTATTTTAACTTTTAAAATTCGAAGTGGCTATCGTTACGGCAGCCGTTGTTTAGCGCCCTCTACAATACTTTTTTGATACGCACGCAGGTATATAATTATTTATTTCCCCACGTGTTAGCGAGCAGTGCGACAGCTCAGTCGATAGAGGGTAGGATTTTGCACCGCGAGGTTGCGGGTCCGCATCTCAGTTTTGCACTCGAATTTTTTCCCTTTTCTAACCTGAGGCTTTGGAGGATTTTTTTTTAAAGGGAAATAAAGTCCGAATTTCATAACGTTCAAATTCCCTTTTTTTCCTTCTAATTTTATATTTTCTTCTCATGTTTTTATAAAAGTTGCAGTACTAGTACCGTAACGATAGAAAATGGGAAATGCGTTACGGCTGCCGTAGATAGCCACTGCGTTTTACTTTTAAAATTTAATGTCCGACTCCGAGCTTCACCTTACCAATTCCTTCACAGTGGTCCACACATGGCCTCCGGGTTTAACCTCAAAATTTTCTGAAAGGGATGAATCACAAGTTACTTCTGTATAAATGAATGAGAGGGCAAAAACCAACAATATGTTGAGGAAAACACTGAATGATTTTCTCAGGAAAATACGCTCCATGGGCGCGGCCATTTTGGTTATTTATATAGCGCCCTCTATATTATGAAAACGGTGAAGGAAAATACAGAGGCTCCTAATCGACATAGATACAAACTATAATATTTGCAAACGAAACATTTTTTCAGACGTTTCCTTTAATTTAACAACAAAAACTACCAAAAAGCAAAGGAAGTTTCTAAAAATCGCATTCTTGTTTAGACTTGCAAAGCCTAATATTTACCAAATATTGTAAATAACTATTAAAAGGGTTAATGTAAACACATGACCAATGTGCTAAATATAGGACCGCTTAATCGTCAAAATGTCACCTAGTTCCCAGTCTCTGTGTAACGATATTCTGGCAGATAAGATGTTTGGTGGTCAGACTATTACATTGCTTCCAAAGTTTGCGGCGTCTGCGGGCAAGTTGAAACTTGAACGCTGTTATCTGATGTTGAAAAGTGTTGATGCTGAGCATAAAATCCTGGAAATCTTAAATTTTGGTCAGTTGTTCTGTGTATTATTTTGATTCAATTTCCTGCCAGAAGCAGAATGTTAGTAATGTTAGCATAACGTGCGGTGTAAATGTATGTAAATTAACAATTTGTATCTTTTTGTGTGTAAAAAATAAATTTAGCACAGTAGCACTAGCAGGGCATTTTAACGCTGTTGTATTGGGGGTCCTACTAAAGCGCGTCAACAAGCGTCAACAAGCGTCAACAAGCGTCAACAAGTTTTAGTAATCGTTAAGTGCGCGTCAACAAATTTTGTATAGGCCTTTGAACAATAAAAATAGCTTTATAAATTATATGGTAGAAAAAGCGATAATGAACTCTGCATATCAATTAAAGTTAAAATTATTTTAAAACTTGGTTTTTTGAACGCGAAATGTACGACGAATTTGTCGATAAAAGTTGGCCGCCATCTTGTTTATGTGTAGCTAGCTGTACTACGCATGCGTGAAGTGTAAAGAGCCATACTACGCATGCGCGAAGTCTACAGCGCCATCCAAACAAGATGGCGGCCTACTTTTATCGACAAATTCGTCGTACATTTCGCATTCAAAAAACCAAGTTTTAAAATAATTTTAACTTGAATTGATATGCAGAAGATGTTCATTATTGCTTTTTCTACCATATAAAGCTGTTTTTATTGTTCAAAGGCCTATACAAACTTTGTTGACGCTTGTTGATGCGCTTTAGTAGGACCGTGTATTGGAGATGTTGATATTTTTTAAAGTGGACCGTTGCATTCTTTGTCGAGTGAATGGTTCTCAGACTTTTCTTCCCCCTTTGAAAGAATGTATCCAGACACCACTAGTTATATTGAGAATTTACATTCTGGATGAAGTGGTAGGATGCAACATTCTTTCGTAGTATAATAAAGTAGGATTTGATTTAAAACAATAAAGTGTGAAAATTATAGGTCTAGGGCCTAATGTTACTACCCCTGACTAGTACTATTTAAACGTAGTCAGGTTAGGCCTGTTCTTGGAAACGAGACAAACTGCTCTCGCCAAGCTTCAAAGCTTGCACCTTCGGCTTTCAAATAATGCACTAGCTAGGCACTCAGATTTATTCTAATTTTCTCATGAGCTACCAATTTGCAGGAATTCAAAAACTTATATATACATGTATGAAGATTTGTATTTTTTGTAATATTTCATAATAGTTGGATTTGTAATTATGCTACTATTCAATAATTTTGACGCTCATTATAATTGTGATTTTGATCTGTTTTTTTTAGAACTCGTCAACGGACTCTATCCAGCAAAGTGATGGCTTCATACATTAAAGGGCTGAGAAGAAAGGGTTTCAAGACTCCAACTAAAAAAACACCCAAGGCTGAAACTTCTAATCAGTCAAGCGCGGGAGAGGCTAGTGGTCAGCGGGGTCGCTCAAAAACCCAGTCATCACCATCGTCGAGTTATTCGAAAAGCTTCAACAAGTCTTCTCGAACTCCCAGTCCAAACAAAGACAGTCCAGCAGGAACCGCAAAGTATTCTCCGCATTTTAGCCGAAAGAAACGGAAAAAGCTCTTCCAAGAGTTACCAGAGACAGCTTCAAGCTCAGATAAGACTGATTTGATGCCTGCTGAAGAGTCTGGTAGTAAAAATACAATTGAGTCGTTTTTCTCTCGGGCAAAGCCTCAGAAGCTGGTCCCTTGCCCTGTCTGCCAAGACCAGGTAGCTTTGTCTGCCATCAACAGACATCTCGATAATGGTTGTTTGGACCCAGGTATGGAGGATGATGGTGATGATTTTGTCCAGAAATCATCAAAGAGATCCGGAAGCTCAAAATCTACCAACAAAAGGAAAAATATTAAAACAGCCATCCCTAGTTCTTCCAGGCCCAGGAAAATTGCTGAAGTGAAGTCAGATTTGAAGGACAGACGGACAAGATTGAGCTTAAGAAAGAAGATGGAGTCGCATCCACTCTATGTATTGGACAGGACGAATACAGATGCTGCCCAATTTCCCAAACCTACTGAAAGTGAGTACGTGCCTTCTACAATCACACCAAGGAGCATGTCCTGTCCACCATCACAGAAACTTGTAAGGAGTGAATACTTTAATCCAGAACAAAATTCTAAGCACAATTCGGAGATAATAAAACCTAATTTGAAACGAAGGTTGTCATCAACTCATTCGTCTAAAAGCCTGGGTCAAACTGTTACTCCTTTGAAAGAAGGGGGTGTCTCCTTGAAGTTAAATCAGGATGAAGGCAATCCTAATCTTGAAAGGAAGTTGAGCAATGCCAGTGAGTGTTCAACAGTGATCCTCTCCTCGCAGAGCCAGGAGATTCCAGAAGCCCAGGAGGAAGTCTTTGTAATGTACGCCAACTCGTCAGTCTGCTACCCAAGCCAAGAGGCACCCAGCAGCGTTCTTTACGACACCTCGCCAGAATATTCCAAGCTGTCCATTTCCAAATCTGGCTATCTGAAATACGACAACAGGAGTTACAGGACGCCGCGCTTAACATGCACGAGCATAGCGTCCGACGGCGAAGACCCAGTCTCAGACAGCAGGGGTGCCAGTCCAACTTCTCTGACGCCAACTCCAGATTCTCTGACGCCAACCCCAGATTCTCTGACGCCCACCCCATGCACCTCAAGCACAGACAGTACCTCAGGAATCGGGTCGCAAACCTCCCTCAGTGGAACATCTTTTCTACCTGACTCAACTGAAGATACTCCAAGCACGAACAGTGATCTTCTCAACAGTGATGTTGTCCAAGATGAATGCTTAACCTCAGTCATTTACGACGAGGAAGCTAGTCTATCCTCCAACCCGTCATACGAGGAGGACGGTGACGGCGACCTAAAGGACTTTTTAGAACCTCTTGCCAAGACTACCTCCAGGCCTCAAGAAAGCTCTCCACCGCTGCATCAGATCAGCATAGCAACATCTAGCAGTTCATTCTCCGAAAGCAACAACTCCACCCAAGGTAAGGATGGCCAATTCAAGTTTTTGTTGTTTAATATTTAGGGAAACTTTCACACTCTGTTTAAGCATTTAATTGTTTACCAAACAGTTTACAAAAGTTGCCGCCAGCACAATTTTTAAAAGCTTTGCAAATGAAAGAGGCACTGAGCATTAATCTGGGTCAGGCAGCATATTGAAACATCAAACAACAATTCAAAATAAACACATTAACCCTAACCTCCTAGGGTGATTTACAAAATGTACTACATGTAGGAACAGTAGGAACCTTCCTCATCCTTGCAAATCCCAACACCATATGGTAAACTGTGCACACAAACAGTTGGACTCTGATTATTTGTGGTATACCTAATCCCACATAAAGCACACAGTCAGTTAACTAGTGCAGTACTCATCCTAACAGATTCCAACAAACCCTGGTGTTGGAGTTTGGCTGGTTGGGGATCGTTAGGGTTAAAAGCACTCTAATCATAACAATTTCCCGAAATCATGGAAAATTGTAAGAATATTTTTGCTAGACCCGAAGGGCCAGTCTGATGTTCTCAGACTGGCTGACAAACTGAGGCAGAGTATAAATAATGTCCTAAATAAACTGCAACTTTCATTTTTTTGTAGTTAATTCAAATGTTTTAACTTGTAAATGTCCCATCCATATTAACCAGGTTCCTCATTAGCAAGTACTCCACCAAGGAGGACATCATCGTCACGTTCGGGATCCAGCACACCATCAAAGCGAGCAGCTGAGGCAAGCAGCCCAGCCAACAGCCCCTGGAAGTACCGGGATCCTTACTTCCTAGTCAACTTCAAGCTGATCCTCAACACTGTCTTGGCCAATGAGGACGACCGGAGCTTGTTCAGTGATGAGGACATGGAAGTCATAGATGCTTTCAGGAATCTCTCAGGTACCTCACGTAAAACAGATGGACACAATTCAGAAATATGTCTTTTTTGAGGAGTCACAAATTCTGCACTTCTACCAATTTTGCAAAACTCTTATTACCCCTGTTCATCAGGCCATGAGAACAGCTTTCTTCAGCAGTTTAAGATGGTACTTCAGTGAAGTTCACTGCGAATATTTTGTGACGACAAATTGTCTTCACATTCACATTGGCATAAAGTATTATCCATCCTTAAGAGGTACATGTACTCCATTTTACACTCCTGGATGGAGAAGCATGGTGTCTGTTAGAATTCAAACTATAAACATACCATCAAACATGAGTCCGACACCGTTGGACCATGGTTGAAATGTACAGATTCCATAATGTGTTTCATGTAAAAGAGCAAATCTCTCGCAGAAATGTAAGATGACAGTCATTGGGCAGTACTATTTGTCTTCTTCTGTTCTTGAAAAGTATCCAAAATGTTTGTTTGATTTTAAAGGGTCCAGGAAGGCTACATGTAGGGTGTTTACTCAGTTTCAGCATTAATGCAGATTGATAAGATTTGTGGCATTTAAGTTCTGTAAGACGCAGTTATCAGAACCTTGCATAGTAATGCTAGAATTTATGCTGTCATTGTGTGATCATAGTATTGCTGCATTTTGTTGATTGTAGAACTGACCTTTTACAATTGTTTCATTTTGAATTCAGCACCGTCACAGCAGTTGTACGTGCGTCTGTTTCAGCGGAAACATGCCTGGCTGCAAGTCTCCAAGTTAGATTACAAACGCATTTCAGAGAACCTCACTCCAGTAGTAGCCGAGCTTCACGAAGCAGGCCTGGTACAAACAGGTAATTTTATGTCGGGGAGATTGTGCTTTTGTGGCCCCTCACTGGCATACTTTTATAAGCACTGTATGCTCAGAGCTGGCTGAGAGCTTTGGAGTAAGAGCTTGTAAGCTGGCTCTGTTGGGATTCAAACGATCAAAAGTTCTGCTTACTAGTGTAGATCTATCTCAACCACCAAGCCACTGAGCTGGCTGGGGTTGGCTGGCCAGTGTAAACCTGATGTAGTAGCAGGTACCACAGTGACTATTTTGCATGGTGAAATTTTACTTTGGGAGATTCAAATTTGATACATACATGTAATTGTATAAGCACCATTGTACTGTTAGATTTTAAGCCTAAACAGGTGGGACCCAAACCCGAGTCCCACCCGGGCAGGGTTACATGTATCACTTTTTTTCCTAAAGCTATTGGACAGTAAAACTATTGGACAGTAATGAATATGACAGCACAGAGTAATGCTTTAAACAACATCTTAGAGGAGCAAAACCTTATTAATACGATCAGATTTTATTTGGTGATTAGTTTTGTACTTACACAACCAAGGAACCAATACATGTGTGTACATATGTATTTTTTAGGCAATACATACTAAATAAAACTAATGAATCTATTTTGTTTCAAAAATCGTATTTACTGGTAGTGTATTAAATAAAACTTTAAGCCAAGTATGATTTCATGACCTCTTTGTTTTTCAGAGAAAGATCTGAATGACTTTGAAGTGGCTCTGAACCTTTGCTCAGCCCCGGACCTGAAGACCCTTGCCAAGACACTGCATCTGGCGCCCTCTGTTGGCCAGACCAAGCAGGATCTAGTGTCTGCCGTCCTGAAGCATGGTCGGCAGCAGCGCTCGCTGTTTGCTGTCAGCATGGAACAAGTCCTAATCAAAAAGTACAAAAAAATATAAAAAGTTTTGACTCAGTTATCAAAATGAAATATATGCAATTGTTCCTTCTGGGATTTGATTCTAAACATGGAATCACAGTTCTGATTCCGAGTTATATAAAGATTGATTCTATTCGATTCCGACTTGGAATCACCCAAGCCTAAAGTCAACCTTTCTGTCTCTGTTTTCAGAGCCAAGAGGATGCTTGGGTCCTGTGTGCGTCTTAGCAAAGAGCCCCGCATCATCTTCTCCCGCCTCCTCTTGCTCTTCTCGCTGACCACAGACATGGATGATGAGGACAAGGCTAGTGGGGGAATGTCGCAGCTGTAAGTGGCAGTGATCTCAGGGTCTGTAGCTCTATAGTTAAGATCTTGTGGGTATATCTGCCGATGTTGGTCAGAAAATAAGCATCAAGTAATTTTTAATATAAAAACATTTTTAAAGCAGGGTTAGAACCTGCGACCCCTGTATTGTTGTTCCATCGCTGTACCAACTGAGCTATCTAGCCCTATGTTTAAGGAGCACTAGTCAGAAGCCATAAACTGACTAGAGAAACTTATTAGGTACATCATAATAGTTTCCCTTTGTGGTTTATTTGTAAATTTGTAATAAAAAGCCGTATCCTGTCTGAGTAATCCCCGTTTTCTATTTCCCAGGTTTGCAGCATCGTGTGTTTGGGCATGGTCCCTGGCTGCATGGCATATGGGTTTATGGCTTCTCATACTACACGTTTTATTAACATTGTTGATACATTTTAAAATATCTGGCAGGCATTAGATTTCACATTCGTGCATCAAAATGACTTCAAAATTTGACTTTACCACTCCCAAATATTACATTCACATGTGTGGACTTCATAGATTTGGATAATTTTTTCTCCTACACACAAGCTCTCTTTGATTTCATTTTCAATCTTGATTCATTGCAGACAAACTCTGCTCCTGTCAAACATGGGACGTGTGACCTACCCAACCTACACAGTGATGAGGACAGTCAAGATCTTTGCAACAAGAGAAGACCTACTGAGGTGAACTGTTCTTTAATACACCATCGTACTTACTCCTAACTCAACTGATGTTTTGAATATTCAAGAGTACTTTTTGCAACTTTTAGCTGTTTTTTTTGCAATTTATATCTGGTATTACTTCTGGGGACAACTGGAGAGAGTTCCATGTGTGGGACATTAAGACATTAAGCCATGGTTCAGTTGGTATGGCAAGAGGTTTTGGTCATTCTAAAATTTCGGGTCCAAAATGTGACATATTTTCTGTCCCTTAACCTCGGTACTTTGTAATCTGCCGTTCAGATACATTTATCATTAAGAATGACTTCAAATGATTGTTTATTTGTTGGCTAGGTAGTTTGCTATTCATAATCACTCTTGGAGGACGACTACATAAATCATAGATGTAGGATGTAACAGGGATAGGAAAAATGTACCCCAAATTTATAGAATGACCCGTATACAAAATTAATTTCTGGCTCTGCATGAGTGCCAGGCATATTGCGGCATTGCATGCATGGATCATTCTCTTGTTTTAACCCATTGAGGGGGTACTTGTGTATGGAGCTCATACTGTTCCTGCTTCAAGTCCACATGGCTTAAGAATTCAATCCCTTGATCCTTCATTACTGTATTATCATTGTTCTGTAGATACGAGACTGCTCTTCATTACGAGACGGACATAGCCACAGCCATGAGCTGCAATGACTTTGACTTGGCTTACCAGCTGCAACAGAAGGCCATGAATGTCTTTGAGGAAATACAACGGGATCCCAAGATTCTGGAGTGAGTGTTTCTTTCACTGTGTTCAATTGTGGTGGAAGGCAAAGAATACACCAACAAAAACAAATTGTTCATTGCTGTAATTTTATTGGCCTTAACTGCAGACAAACCCGTGGGAAGTTTGAACAAACCGAATGAGACATCACTTTTTGTCCCTCAAATGACATCCAAAACATCATTTGCATCTAAGATGCAGTGCAGTGACACATAATGTCAAGTATAATAGGGTACACTTTGCAAAGCAGCATTTAATGACTGGCGAGAAAACTCATCAATTTCACTGCAATAAGTTTGAATAACTCACCTATTGCTGATGTAGTCACAACTGTGATCTTTTTAAAGACTTATTGGCACAATGTACCCGTAATGACAATTGTAGACTTCAACATGGGGTAAGTTTTTTTTTGTTCGTTGTCATGGACATATGGTGTTTAAGTGCCTTATCCTACATAACAACAATCAACGGGTGTCGGACGCTTCGCCCCATTTCCACGTCGCCCCATGTCACTTCGCCCCTAACCACTTCGCCCCATCCCCACTTTGCCCCATCCCCACTTCGCCCCATCCCCACTTCGCCCCATCCCCACATCGCCCCATCTCCGCTTCGCCCCATCCCCACTTCGCCCCATCCCCGCTTCGCCCCATTCCCACTTCGCCCCATGTAGTATGAAAAAGGTGAAGGCTAGGGGTGCAGACCAAATAAACTGCCGAAAGACCCCAGATAATAAATGCTCCCAATTCTAGAAACTTAGGAAAAATACAAACTCTCTGATGAGGTGCTCGAGACACAGATGAGAGAAATGATGGCTCTATCCCATTCAGAGACACCTCTCCTATTGGCTTGTGAATAAAATCACCAGCTGCTGGATTCAAAAGAATCCGTAGGTATGGGTCAGTGAAGGAACTCACTGCCTTGAGGAAAATGTTCCGTCAAAATTTGTGTGATATGTGACACTTACAACTTCATTTAGATGAGATTGGTTCCTCCAAAAGTGAAATTAGGATGTCAAAGGTATTGTCGTTCTAAGATAAGTGGGACTGGGAGACGGGTTGGTATAGCCGGGTTGGGAACAAAGTTGGATCTTTTACTTCAAGCTTGTTTCTCGGTAGGGGAGAGCCTAGCTTGAGAGGTTGGTCATGAAATTGTTTTTTTAAGCCAAAAAAATAGATGAGATTTTTTTTTACATGTAACGGCTGGGGCGAAGTGGGGATGGGGCGAAGTGGGGATGGGGCAAAGTGGGAATGGGGCGAAGTGGGAATGGGGCGAAGTGGGGATGGGGCGATGTGGGAATGGGGCGAAGTGGGGATGGGGCGAAGTGGTTAGGGGCAAAGTGACATGGGGCGACGTGGAAATGGGGCGAAGTGTCCGACATCCCAATCAACAATTGTGTCACTGATAAAGATTTGATACGATGTAGCTGTGTGGGGTTTCTAAACTATGGATATTTCGCTGGTTTTCGCCTCACCTACATGCATGGCTGTAGGATTATTCAGAAGCCTGTAATTTCCAAACCAAACATAAAACACTCCAAGCTTTGGCTTTGTACTATAGGATTTGAAGCTCCAGAAGTAGAACATGGACCCATATGTAACCAGAGTCCCCCAAGTCAGGGCCTAAAATCTCCTGAAGCTGACCCCCAACCCTCCAAGTTTCTTAATAGCTATCAATTTTTACATCTCAGCCATGACCTGAAGCTACCTGATTTTCTGCGCCGCTACACAGCCGCGTGGACCTACACCCGCATCGCGTACACGGGCGTGGAGATCCTGCAGAAGCAGCGGCGCTACGCGGAGGCTGTGGACGCGCTGCGCGGTCTCCTGGCCCGGACTAACTACTGCTGCGACAGTAGAGGGCGCTGGTGGGACCGACTGGCACTCAATCTGGACCAGCACTTGAAGAAACCTGAAGAGGTTAGCAATTTAGAAACCAAAAAGAGTTTTCATCTTTGCTTAGTGATTGAATAAAAGAAATGTGTAGGTTGTCTCAAAAGGCGGCTGGGCAGAACAAAGGTTGGCACAGAAAATATGTGCTGAGCTAAACATTTTATTAGCTGAAATGCCATGCAAAATACCATATACATGTTTTTACGTGTGCATATTTTCTGCTTAACACCTTCATGAAATTTGGCCCTGGCCAAGGTCAACAGTAAAAGTTCGGTACGTTCAGCGCCAATTTGAAAAGAAGTTAAGTCCATGTTTGAACCAGGCCATTTTTTGCCCAAACAGGCACTTGACGCCGTGCAAGAAGGTCTAGCTGACAGCTACGTCAGGACAGGACACCGCCTGGCACTCCAACTACGTGCTCAGAAAATCTTCAAGTCGGCCAGCAACAAACGGCTCAGGAAACGGCAGGAGGAGTTCACCTTTGACCCGGTCAGGGAAATGCCCAGGGTGAGTGACTACAGTTTCTGAGCTGTTGTCCTTGAAAAATAAAGTCTTTAGTCTTTTAGGACATGGATATTATTAATGCAGTTGTAAGGAAGATTAGGCCAAAAAAACAAAGGCTCCGGTTTCTGGTCTGTTTACGCGTCGCCGTAGCCATGTGCGTTGGCAAAATAAGAAAGTTATTTTCAATGTAAGATGGTGTATCAAAACCGCCAAACTCACTGGTTTGACTGGAATCCTGCTGCTGCACAATTTTAGTGTGTGTTTTAGATGGGGTTACAATCGAGACTAGAGACTTTTTTTTGGCCTTAGATATTGTATATGGAATATAATTCATTAACTTTAAAAAAAACTAAATCATGAACATATAAATACTTCACAAATAAATGACATATAAAGTATTCTATTCTATTCTATGATGTCCCTGTACGATTCCAAATAGTACAGATTGTTTTCTCCTATGCCAGTTAAACTGAGTTGTTTTATGTTATTCTATAAGATTAAAGTTTCCTGAGAAGACATTCAGTAAAACACATTTTCTATTTTGATTTAATTAATAGAAAGCCTTTTGTTCTCAAATTTTATGAACAAAACTGTACCTTGCATCTTTTGTGGACCCGATTGTGTCCGTGAAAAATGTTTAGTGTTTCACTTGATTAAGTTTCAATTCACTGTTAAGGCTCAAATAAACTGGAATTATGTTGGGAAGCCATGAAAATAAATATTCAGATATCGTTTGGTTGTCCAGGTCACCATTGCAGGGCAAGTCTTGCCATACCAAGCTCCGGGGATCAAGAACACGTTTGTGCGAGAGTGGACGGGAGGACGCAAGCGAGAGGGCGACATGGCGATATGTAGGGTGGAGGAGGTCGCACTGGAACATTATAGGGGAATTGGCTATCCCGAAGGTACATGTGTGCTTGAACTTTGCACCACACAACATAACAAAATCCAAAAAATCTGTCAGCAAATCTGTCAGAAATAACTAGTTTGCAGTAATATTCATCAGTTCTGAAACTTAAGGAATGAATGCCAATAAAAGTACAAGTAAGACAGTTTTAATTCACATATTCAAATGGAAATACAGGGCTCATATATCAGCCTGCATTTTTTTCTTTTTGCAAAATTGTATTGAAAGTATGATTTTCTATACAAATCTATGCAAAAGTTCTTTGGTCACTAAGAGTGAATTCCAAATATTTGTGAAAGCTAGTGAACAATGTGAACTTTTAGGAGTGTTTGACAGTTTTTGGTGGAAGTAACATGCGTGGGTTCTGTTTTGAAGGTGTCCACGGGGAGGGGAGCACCTTCACGACACTGATCTGCCTTCTCTTCTGGGATCTGATCTTCATGGAGGGAGTTCCAGATGCATTCTGCTATCCCTATCAGGTATCAAAAAGTGAAAATGTACTAGGGCTGCCATCCTCGATTAATTGAGTATTCGATTACTCGAAACTGCGTTTAACCGAATATTCGAATGTTCCAAACTGGCAGCTGCAACTGCATGCCGCACCGGTCAAAAGTTGCACGCAGACCGTGTCGGTTAAAATTTGTGTGTGGCGATTAAAGGGAAAATACAACATTTGCAAACATCAAAAAATAAAACTACCAAATCATTTTGAAATACCTTGCTGGACTGTTAGTGAATGACAGTGTAAAGCATCCTGTAAAATCATGGCACCTGGTATACTGTCATTTTCAAGAAAAGTGGTATTTTTGTATCAATTTGAAACGCTGATCGGCCGATCAGCGTTGGAAAAAACTGGCTTTTTCAAATACTGGCCCCAATTGACCATCGCACTTGTTTGCAATCGATTACAAACCTATGAACGGGTATGAGCCAGCTAGACTGGTTCCCTGACCTTACAATTCCCCAATGTATGTAAACTGCTCTGTTTCTTCTTATATGGAGTCAGGGAACCAGACTACAGGAAAATGATTGTTTCTCTTGGTTTTTATAGCATTTTCGAACCCAAAACCTCAAAAAAGTCAGTGTAACTATATTTGATATATATTTCCAACCCCCCAATTCCATCCATTTCTGAAAATTACAGCAAAAGCAAATGATGTATATTCCCTTTAATATGGGCCGCTTGAGTGTTTTTAATTTTGTAACTGTCAAGGGCTAATAACCTGCTGTAAGGATGGGAACAGTGAACCGCTGTCGAGAAAACAGCGGCACCTGATGACAATAAAGCGGCGCAACTTCACGATAAAATATCATCACAGTTGTTTATTAATGATGTCCATCACTGAACAGCAGCCGCAGTAAATTTTGTGCTTCTTTGGCAGTCGGGTCCTTTGGACATGCGATCAGACAGTTTTTACCACAATCGTCGAGAAGCTCTGGAACAGCGGCTGGGTGAGATCAGACAGGCAGACAGCCAGGAGCTACAGGACAGGCTGGAGACCAGCTGGACAGAGTACCAGGGAGAGCAGTGCATTGGGGTGAGCTGGGACCTCTTCCACGATGTCCATCACGCCAAGGTATATGGTCATGTCAATGCACTAAACATGGCGCATTTTCGTAAGGCAAATAGAGAAGTGTTTTGAAGATTTCACGAAACTTTTTGCCATTGCGTAAGTCCACTTGCGCCACAGTTCATTGCATAAGTTGCTCAACATTTCAGTTATGACAATTTCACGAAAGTTTCATAGTGCGTAAGTCCGCGACTTGCGCAACAAATTATGGCGTACTTTAGGCAACCATTTTACGTTACATTAGTCGTGGCGCAGCAACTGAAAATTACCTATTTTACCAGCAAATTGTGATTGCCTTGGGGCCTGGCAAGTTAAACAACTTATCAAGGTTGATACAAGACACTCACAGCTTTGTGTTTGAAGTAACTGAATTGCTATGTTACTTGTTACAGAGTTTTTAGAGTTGCTGCACAATTCTGAAGGAAATCGGACAAAACTGTTTTCAAAATGGTAGGCGGAGGTGATGCACAACTGTTTCATGAACGAACAAAATCATACACAAACAGCCGTCGTAAATGCTGTTATTATCCTCGTCCAAGATGTTTAAAATGTTGCACAGCTATATGCCAAGTTTCGTGCAATCGATCATAACTTTTTTGCTTTTTGCGCAGCTGCGCAATAAATGTGTTGCATAAGTGCTGTGCATGGCGTGAGTTACGCACTGTTCTGTGAAATCGGCTGCTGGGGTTATAATTGAACAGTCACAAGTCAAGTGACAAGCTATTCAAATGAACTGTGGCAAAGGCATTCCTTTGTAAAGGTCCATCCCTTGTTACTTGTGACTGACTTGTGATTGATTTGTGACTAGACTTGTGATTTGACTCATGGTTTGACTAGTGATTAACGTAGTGATTGATTCAGTTACAACTCTGAGAATAGCAAGAATCAGTCCACTAGTAATTGGAATCTCAATAGATGGGCCCAACATTGTGGTTTATATTATAAGATGGAATTTTGCATCGGGGTGATATAAATCAAATTAGGTTTTTGCCCTTCACCGATGTTTAAACAATGTGTACTCAGTGTGTTACCTCCCGAGTGAAAGTTTTGAAAAAATCACTCGTGTGGGACTCGAAACCACGACCTCCTGCTTTCTAGTGCAGATGTCTTACCACTCGACCACCGAGCCAACGGGATCCTAATTTGATTGTGGTATATAACTACAGCCTTGCTTTTGCTGCAATACAGATTTGCTAAACAAAGTAGGAATGCAATTTTGTTTTTTCCAGGGTCTTCTAGTGTGTCTCGGTGGCGAGTTCCTGTCAGCAGTGGCTGAGAGGATTTTGAGGAACCATCGGCACTGCAGGGGCGGGATGCCAGATCTGACGGTCTGGAATCCGGACACCGGCAAATTCAAGGTGAGCCAGACTAGGGAAATGTGACCAAAAGACGGATCAATTAGGATAAAAAAGCTGTGATTAGTGTTTCACATGCGACACAAAATCCGACGTATGTCCCATGGCTGGAACATAAGAGTGTACTATTAGAGAGGTGCTTGTTTGGTTGCCCACATTCCCAACGGGAAGGGCCTAAAGGCTTGGTCTATCGTTTCTTGTTGAGAAACATATTCTGTTTTCATTTGGTCTTAAATGGGCAATTGTTCTCGCATGGGAAGGTTCACTCATAGCTCTTCCTAAGTTTGACTTGTTTTAAAGGAGATAATTTATACAATTTTTCATAAATAAAAAAACCCTTAGATTCTGGAATTTTGGGTCCGTTAAATAGTGAAGGCTGCATGTAGGTAGCTCAAATACAATCTTTAAATATTGCAACAGATCAGTCATAAATATGTTGAAACTTTTTTGTCTTTTGGAATTATGATAAATTCAATTCAATCAATTCAATTCAATATTTTGTTTCATCACAATTAATAACTTTAATAGTGAAATTTATCTTTCCAATGTGCACAGAAAAACAGGATACATACATATATATATCGAAAGACATAAGAATTAATACAAGGTGAAAAGACAATTTCAGAAAAATAAAGTTTAAAAGAACAGTAAGAATACCCTACTTTGGAAAAATGAAGTGTAAAAAAAAGAAAGAAAGAAAAATAAAAAAATAAAATATGTAAAAATTTGTTTATAAAGCTTCTCATTGTAAAAATCAATTCCAATCTGCATACCAATGTGCTAAGTTATGGTATAGGCTGCATTTTATATAACTTTTCTCAAGCTGGAATTAATGAAATAAACCACAAAGAATTTATGTTAATTCCACTGGAGTTAAAACACAAATATTGATTCTTGTTTTGTTGTACTTCATTTAGCTGGTGGAGGTTAAGGGGCCCGGCGATCGGTTGTCACAGAAGCAGATTCTCTGGATTGATTTCTTTCTGTCTCTGGGAGTGGACGCAGAGGTCTGCCACGTCACTGGTCAGTTGCTTGGAAAATTGCTTCTCTTTTTTTATACTCTGGTTGCCTTCAGTCAAGGCTTGTGAAGGTTTTTTTCTGATCCTCTTTTGATTTTTTTTTTTACATTTTCAAAAGCACATTCTTTATACATGTAGTATGTTGCAATTTCTGAAGAATGTGTTGTCCTGGAGAGAACAAATGTCCTGTTGCTCAAATAGAAACTTTGCAATAATAGTAAAATGCCCAAACTGAATTGACTCAAAAATATAACCTTTTTCATGCTGAGGTGCGTCTGATAGGCAAATTTCTGAACATTAAAATTCCATCTTGTATACAGAGAGGACCATACATATCCAAACATATGAACTAGACAGGAACCTGGCCCAGTCTTTATACTCTTAACTTTGAATATCCCCTAAGCTTTGATAGAAAGAGGGTATCAACTATGCCACTGGTGAGTGCATGTGGACAGAGTCCATATAAGGTAACCTTTTTCCTTTTTATTTCGAACCACTGATGATAATCACTTTTATTTGTTACATTATTTTCAGCGATTGGTTCTAAACGGCTGAAGCTATCCAGAGCACTCAGCAGAGACAGCGATGCGGCAAGCTCATCCAGTCAGAACTAAAAGCCATTTTTCAAATCAGGGCTTCTTCTCCAGGTATAGCTTCATCTCCATCTGATGTTCAGTAGCAGCGCGTGGGTCTGATACTGTTCCTTTGCCTCCCAGGGCAAGGATCTAAAAACTTAAGCATGGAACTTGAGCTTGAAGCTAAAACTGGAGACAAACCCAAGGGTTTGATTGGGTGACCTCCTTACCAAGTGAATTGCCACTGGCTCCAGTTAGATACAGCTTACCAGCCAGAACCAGCATGGATATATTCCAACATTCTTTCGTTAACCACTGGATGAAAGTGAGGCGACACTGGCAAGTTTGGGCTACTTGAATGGATTTCCATGAACTAGCTTAGCAGCCTTCATACCTGTAGTGACAACATAGAACAGATTGTATTTTTTTTAGGTGTTGCCCGAGACTGGGACCTTGAGGGCAGAAAGACATGTAAAACAAAATCAGGCCAACCTTACTCTTTAGCTGACAAAATTCTCTGAAATTCTCATGAGCCAAAGACAAGGTCTCAATTCAGTTCAGTTCAACAATTTTCATCTGAAAGTGATGCAAGGTGATTTCAATTTGAAGCCTAATACTATCTAGACTGATACATGTCCAATTTTTGAAAAGACAGACAATTCTCTAGTCTGGTGGCATGACTATGGAGACAATGTGTAAAAATAGGGACTAATGTAAGGTACCAGATGTTCCTTTTGACACAGTTGATTGATGCAGTACTAAAGGGGTGTTGACTGGTTGTGTCATGTGTCAGTCTATTTTTTAGTATTGCATGTTTTCACTATCTTAAGTTTTGCAACTCTCATACACAGTACAGTACTAAGAGTCCCAAATTTTCAGACTAGTGTTGCCCCACTTTTGGATCGGTATGGCAATATTTATCAAATATATCAATCCTAAAGATTGTACTGCCTAGCTAAGTGATGCGATCAAGCTAAATGAGTCGTTTGTCTGGAATTTTCATTTGGATATACAGGCCAAAATAGGGCCACTTCAACACATCACTTCATCACATCTCTTGGTGTTCTGACTTCCATAATTTTTTTGAACTAAAGATGGTATCAGCATGCGGTTTTCACAGCAGTAATGCTGAGTTGTGCTCTTTTCAAATCTGTAATAAAACTTTTTTGACCAGGGCCGACAAGCGACTCTTTTAGCTTGATCACACCACTATTAGGCTGATCCAGCAGTCTGCTATTCTACACTGCGCACATTGGCAACCAACACGTGCGTCTCTCCAATGCCACACTGCATGTTCCAGCCATGTGCGTTATATGCACTTGCAAGCATGTCAGACTTATGTGCAAGCATGTCGGATATCAGTCACGACTGTCATTGGTCAAAACACCACTGGGGCGGGGCTTAATGTGTCAGTTTACTTTCCAAAGTACGTCACAGACTGTGATATCAGATGAGCTCAGGTATATTTATTGAGTAAAACTACTGTCAATATTTTGTATTCAGTAGTGTAATTAAACTAGGTCAAGGGGAAATAAGTATGAAAAAAGAAAAGCTGGACTTTGATCTTTGATAAAATGTACCGGTAGTCTAATTTCTAATTGATATTACAGTTTAACAACTGAATGACAAGGAAACGTCAACTATCTAAGTAAGGATAAAATCAGAATTTCTTAAAAGAGAAAGTTTTAAAGTCACAATGCAGAATTAATTGCATTTGTGTCAGGTCAATAAATGAAATGTACAATTTATTTTATTAATTTAAAGACTGATTTGTAAAGACACATGAATATCTGATATACATGTATATATATAAAGCTGTTATAATTTCTGTCTACTTTGAATTCAGTACAAATTTGATATCTCAGGAATATATACATCTCAGTAATTCTAAATGCGAGTATAAGTGTTCTATATGTCTGTTTGTATTCAAAGAAAAGTGTACTCGGAGGAATGCCATTAAAGATTTCACAAAGAAGTATACGGATATTTTTTTCGTTTCGGTTGCAGAAATAAAGGTTAAACAAAAAACAAGAATTTCTAAAAACAGAATAACATAGAATGTTTTGGAAGTCAACATGTATAATAAATTGCATTTGTGTCGGGTAAATAAATGAACTGTAATGAAAAATCTCATATCAATACCACATTAAATAAAGTCTGTGTATATAACAGAATTATCTAAAAACAAAAAATAGACTTCATGTCTAATGTGAATTCAGTACACTACCTTCTTTAAATTCAGTACAAATTCGATATCTCAGGAATACATACATTTCAGTAATTCTAATAGTGAATATATTATTCGATTGTTATTACGTTGTATTCAAAGACATTCAAAGACCCGATAAAGGTCATTAAAGGTCTTTTATTTTTAAAAAAGAAGTACATGTTACTGACATGGTCAAAGAAATGGTTTTGTTTCGGTTGTAAAAAAAATATCTAACTAGTAAAAAAAATCATAAATTGGGTTCAAATTTTTGTTTTTAAACCTACCTCACTAATAAAGGCGTTTATTTTGACGTCAAGTAATCTTTGAAATCGTTCCCCTAGTTTGCTTCTTATTTGAGACAAACCGTAGAAATGACTCTGGCTTCACCTCTACTTGATAACCCTTTACAAGCATTAAACCCTGGTCTGTATAGTTGAATTTGGCGCATAAACTGGAAGAAGTAAAGCGGTAGGTTGTGTTGTTCTTGGGATAAGGCAGAGAGAGTAGTTTTTTTATAAAATTATTTTTGGTACATCTATTTCTGATGAAAATCACCCTCAGAAAATTGTTACTAAAGCATCTCAATTTATGGAAACTGAAAATTGTACGACGTGAAAGAGAAATATCGTGCCAAAAACTGACAAAGAATTGAAAAATTGAATCCCACTTTCGAAAATCTGACATACATGTGAACAAGTGGAACTCGGAGCACTCTTACAAAGATGAACATTTACGAAATAATTTTTTGGCGATCATTAATTGGGTAACACTTAAACTTAAATAGAATACTAAAGTGTCTTTTGGGACACAGTTTTTTGGGGGATAAACTTGGAGGACTTATTCTCATTTACGAAGAAATCTAAACTGACCATTGATAAGAACTGTATTCAAACAAGCCCGACTATTAAATCTAGAATCCATCCATCTTGATCGTTTCCCGATATGACGGTGGTGCTACGCGTGTTAAATTGACACGGAAACTTCAGTTCAGCCACTGGTTTTGGGCTTTATAAGATCCTCTTCAAAATACAATAAGACGTGACCTACCTATAGAATGTTGGTTGATATTTTAGCTATACATCCATTTATAAAAATGTCAATCTGCTGTAACTTTGCCAGAGTCACTCGTTCACCGCGCACACTATTTACGCTACAATGTTTGTTGACGTTATGTGCCTCGCTTTGATTTTTAAGATGGCGTACCCTAATAAAGGTTTATGAGTCCGTACTTCATAGAGTCCAAAATTCACACTTCACACTGGTGTAGCGGGAATTTAGGTATCTATGACTAGACTGAATACGGACTCATTGGTAGAATCGCGCATGCCTGTCCGAAGATAATTAGAAGGGTCATGTGAACGCCAATTCAACTTATCCGCTTGTGTATAGGGCCTACATCTTCAAATTTCTTGATATCGCGATATAAAGATGCGGCTGAGGTATTCATATTGGTTTACCCGATCAACCTGCATTTGGACGAACGGACGTAGCTATATTTATACGGTTTTAAAACTCTTTACATAAATTATCATTAAAACACATATGTACAATAGTATATACAGTTGTTTTGGCAGTAGCGGGGGATGATGATCAGCCGTTGACAAACTTTTTCAAAGTTCATTATAATATGAATCTGATGAGACCCAAAGCATTAAATGGAAGCAGCTAGAACGATCCATTACTAAGTATATTTAGCAGTTATGTGCACCCTACTTAAGCTTTTTGAACAATTTTATTGCTTCAAACGAAAAGAAAAAGTCACGACGAACGGACGTAGCTATATTTATACGGTTTTAAAACTCTTTACATAAATTATCATTAAAACACATATGTACAATAGTATATACAGTTGTTTTGGCAGTAGCGGGGGATGATGATCAGCCGTTGACAAACTTTTTCAAAGTTCATTATAATATGAATCTGATGAGACCCAAAGCATTAAATGGAAGCAGCTAGAACGATCCATTACTAAGTATATTTAGCAGTTATGTGCACCCTACTTAAGCTTTTTGAACAATTTTATTGCTTCAAACGAAAAGAAAAAGTCACCAAGACCGAAATATGATGATTTCGAATAATTGAACTTATCATTGTTATCAACGGATATCGGTCAAATGTACGGCAACTTTAATTAAACAAACTCCCCCAAAGTAAACAATAGCAAAACATCAACATACGGGACAAAATGCCGTATTGTACACTGAATTATGACATGAATTTTTTTAAAGGACGGAGATTATACGCAAAATTTAAAACTAATACATTATTACTAGATTGCACAGTTATAATGTTGTGCAACATTAAAAAAAAGTATTACTAGGGCCATTTCATTTCAATTCGGTATGGTCAGTCGGAACTACATCAATTTAAACTTTGACTGCTGAAGTATCAGGCGGCTTGTCCGGCATGTGGAAGTAATTGTAGAGTGGAGCGGACCGGCCCTGTACTATATCGTCGACTACTTCAAACTTCATTCCTTCTTCAAAGGTCATCATGTAGTCTTGGACAGGTGCTGAATGTTGTAAACAGAGCAAACAGAGAAATCGTAAGAGGGCCCATGCAATGTAATCGTTTTAATGCAATCCTTGACAATGTGCCTTAGTGTTCCATTTAAAGTTGGTGTATACCAAAGATCCTATAGCGCCGTAGGCGAGTATATATGCTTTTTGGGTGTGGCACCTTGAATATATATTTTTGAATTGAAGTGATAATTTTCTAGCATTACATTAGTTATGAGTTTTCCAATGAGACATCGCACCTAAAAAAATCGGCCCATGACAAGTAATTAATTATTTAATTTCAACTTTTGAATTAAAAGCGGAAGCGCGTCATTTAAAACCAATTTTTAAAACTGTATAAAACAAATAAGCAAGTTTATTTGTTACAGGACATTATTATATTCCTTTAAATTTTGTTCAGAACAGAAAATCGAAATTTTGAAAAAGCACGTACCGACTTTTAGTTTATTTTCAATTTTAATTTTCAAGGGTATTTTGGTACCCTTTTTGGTTCTTATGCTAAATGCAAATTCTCATAATTATGAGCAAAAGGGTGATGTCATTTCAGGCAGAAGCCTCAATGTTTCAGTTACGTTGTCAGCACCACAAGTTGCCAGAATTTGGGATATGTTGCTGGTGTAAATTTTCTTTTTCTTTGGTAATTCATCGGTGTGTCAGTATACGTGGCAGTAATCTAAAGAGCAAACTTTTCTCACAAATGTTTACAATGAGCAATTATTATTTTTTTTTTTTTGGTTCTCAATTGGAACACAAAATCCCTAAACTGAACAGTGTCTTCCTCAAATGACATCACAGGAGTAGCGCCCTTATTTGTCCGGAAAATCATGGAAAATTGTAAATGTTTAAAGAAGTGCGCTTTTACTTTAATTAAAAAGCCACTCTGCCTAGCCTTGCTTTGACTATAAATAGTGATATTAATGATTACAAGTATCACGTTGCACCTCAAAGTTACAGTTTATGGATATTAATTATACACAGTGACTCAATCAGTCAAAGAACAGTAGGACGGTCCTTCGCGTCGAGCAAAAACAATGTACATGTACTAGCTTCCTAGTCTTACCTGCAGTCGCTGCAAAGTGACGACTGGGAGAGGCTTGCCCAGTGGCTTGTTTTGTTTGGCCGTCATGTGGCGGTTCACCGCCGGAATGGAGGCTAGGTTCACGGAGAGGCACAGTTCCAACAGTTACCGGGTGTTTCACCGTGTGGCTCGCTTTGCAGTCTCGAACCTGTTTGGAAGGTAGTACACAAACTTGAACTCACCTATACTGTTGTTTGTTTATAACTAGTTAGCAAACAAAAGATATACAAAAGTAAACCGGCTTATCAACTGACACGGTTATTGTACAATGTCCTTCTTTTATTCACACTTATGTATGTAGACTATGTCATTATGTGAAGTGAATTCAATTTTACAGCGATCGGTAAAACATAGAAAAGGGAGCATATATATATCTAGCTCTGCCTGCACCGTGTAAGGGGCAAATCTATTTCTGTAAATTAAAATCCGAAACAAGGTATCTGAAAAGTACATTGACTGGAACGAGATTTGATCGTATACAACCTTAAGGGTGGATCCAGGGGAGGGGGGGGGGGGGGCAACGGGTAGTACAGTCTGAGTATCACCCGTTATCCACGGAGCTCAGTCGCATGGCTCTAAGCCATAGACTAGCTAACGGGGGCTATGCCCCCCCCCCCAACACCCCCCCCCCAAAAAAAAACCATCCCCCCCTAAAAATATTGTGTTCTGGATCCGCCCTTGAACAACCTCCGCATACATGGTGTGTCGAGGTCGTAGGTACAAAAGTGACCCCATACCTGTCAATAGGGTTGCTGACACCTTTGTTGTGTACCTTGTCGGTTTACATTAGTATAGTTATGTCGTATTTTTGACTATTGTATTTTTTTTATGCTAAAGAAGGAATTTTTGTCACATTTGGATAGAGTTTACCTTGAGCCAGAAATCCATTGGTATAACATTTTTTTCCATCTACCTTGTGGCGGCCATCTTGGATTTCAAAATTGCCACCATTTCGGACCTAATTTGTATGATAACTTCGGACCTGATTGTCATATGAAGTCCATTTTCGTGGCAAACCCCATGATTTTGGTACCAAGGAACCCGTCGAGTAAATTACTACGTGTACATTGTGGTTATCAAAAGATCCATTTGGGGATGGTGGTTTGGGTGGCTATAACACACCCCCTCCTGTACTGCTCAATACTGGCGAAAAAACACCAGCATGTTGTGGGTTGGAACCAAGGGTGGACCCAAAACAACATTTTCTGGTGCTCCAAATTCGAAAAGTTTGGGGGGGGGGGATGGGGGGATGGTTGGGGGTGGGGGGAGGTGCTCACAATCATGGAACAAAACTCCCAACTTTCGTCACGTCGACGTTCCCTGCAAAACGTCATCACTCAATATTTTAAATCTTGCAATTGATTCTTTGATTCAGGCTTTGGATTTTTGATGAGTTGACTGCAAAGCCTCGTCCACCATCCCACTGAAAATGAAATGAGTGGACTTGGGTAGGAAGGCCGACCGCAGTCCCCTTCTTTTGGAACATTCTAGATCAGCCATCACTGAGCCCGTACCTTGACGTAGTATTCAATATCTATCAGATTGCAGCCAGGCAGTCCCGTGGATGGCACGGGAGGAATCAGCAGTGGCCCAATGCTAAAATCTGTCTTCTCACCCTTCCTAAGCTTGACCCTCGAAGATGCTATCGCCAAATTTGCTTTTTGGAAGTACGTGCCGTAACTGCGGATGTATGTGATTCTCTGAAAGAGAACCCCAAAAAAGAGAGTCGATTCAATTTTGTTTTCTCTCTATATCATCATAATTAGTTTTGTAAATTTATCGCGCCTGTCTGCCTTTGTAAAGATTGAATTCCGAATGCCGTCACACACAATAATTGTGTCGTTACCAGCATGTATATCTATCTATATAGGCACATCACCTATCATAAATAACCTCATGATGAAATGAAGAGATATGAACTGGCATGTTTAGACTTTCAAAAGGTTTTCAGAGTCAGTTTGATATCCGTGATACTTTCCCCAGGAAGAGTGGTTGCAGTACTCCTTGTCTAAACGTTATCTTTTTTTGGCTGAATTTGTACAATTGCCAACTCGCTTGATAACTCCTTCATCCACTATCAGTTCACGTGTAGCAACTTTTTTGGGGGGGTCAGCCTGTACGGGAAAATGCAATTTCCATGGTGGGCGGCCTCAAATAATGTTGCGGAGCAAGGTGATCCTACGGTCAATTTTCATTAATTTGGTGTCAAAACGTTTGCCAAACTTGAAGATAGAAAGTCATGACAGCTCAGGACGAGAAACGCTCGTTTGGCGAAAATATTGTTTAAAAAAGTCAGGGGCGGAGTTCCTCTCTCACAGGCCCTTTTGGAACTAAAATTCGTAGCCCTGATATCCTGAACAAATTATTGTATTTTCACTTAGGAATTTAAAACTTGTACCTCAACTAGACGTGCCTCAAAAGTCCTCGTCTGCTTTTGGCCACTGGAGTTGTCCACATGACCAGTGACGTAAATTCGTTCGCCGGGTACATAACCTTGTTTGGGTAGACCAATCGTGACTTCCGTCTGACGTCCGGTCAAGCCAAGAAAGTCACGGTGCTCGAAAGTCCGCTGTACCCCTAACTTTAAAAACAGTGAAAACACGACAATTTTAACCTATAAGGCCTATTAAGTAGTAAGCACACTGATGCACTGACCGCCGTTGTTATGCAAAATATTATGAATATTGAATTAATTCTGAAAATATTTAATAAAATCGAAACACCCTATAAACATATCTTGTCCAAGTGGCTCTGTCCTTGATATGTATATATTCAGAATTAAAAAAGAAAGAAAAAGAACCCACAAAACTTTAAAATAAATACAAAATTAGGAAAGAACTTCCCCAACTATCACACGGCACTTCCTCTCAGAGTTCTGAGACGACGAAACCAGATTTTTATTGTAATGATTTTGATTAACAACCAATCAGATATCTCCTTCGAGTTGAACCTTAGTTACGCCACTGGTCTCTAGTCAGATCATGGAGGAATGAAATAAATAACGTTATTCCTCCGAGTCGTGTCTTGTGCAAACAAACTGTACCTCCACGCCGGCCATTTGGTTCAGATCCACGGTTGGCCCGGCCATGTTGAACACGACTACTGTGTTGTACACCTTGTTACCCAGGGATCGCCTGAGGGACACGGTGGCCGTCGCTGTGTACCGCACATGCCCAAACCTCGTCTCAAATGGGGAGGGGATGGGTTGTTGTGGAAGTTGAAAAGCGAAGGGAAAGCTGTGTGACCCGGGGAGGAGGGTGAGGTCTGTGACGTCACGCTCTCCTTTTCCTGGAGGGCACAAAGAAAAGTTTTGGGCTGGACAGTGTTGAACCACTTTAGTCAAATCCATAGCCGTTAAATTTGTGTCTAGTCCCGACAGTTTCCAGCAGAGTTGTAGTGAGTGCATCACAAGTCTTATCACAAGTCATATTAGGGGGTCTTTGAGTCAAATCACACATACATGTACTTGTTCCGTAGTTGTGGGACTATACACACGAGTTGTCCCACGGTACTAATATGGGGACCGAAGACGCTATGGGGACAGCAGCAAGTCCCCATAACTCGGTCCTAATTACCCTAACGATAAAAAAACCTTCCCCATAACGAGGTGACGGTCCACCCACAAGTGTAGGTCGCAAGATTAACAGGGGAGTACTAATAATAGTTATAACAACAAGGGATTTTTGCCTTTATTTGATTTCTTTTTGTAATGACAAGTGACATTATTAATTTTTACGACGACCTGACTATATAAAATATACAGCTGTGTTTCAGTTCTATGGACATGCGTGCGTATTGATTTAGCAAGAACAATTGACATACACAGAGCATAATAGTCCTCAGAAATAACCCACAATGCTTCGCATTTCCTCCACAAAATTTTGTAAAGTGGATATACAAAACCAACCTGTCCCAAGCAAGACGAGGCACGCATTGAAGTAGTGCTCGTGAAACTGGGGTCTTTCGTTTCGAGCTCTGCCGCTTACTAATCCGGATTTACCTTCAAATACTATCCACACACCTGCACGAAAAACCCAGTCTTGCGTGTCAAATCCTTCACACAATCATAGAAACTGCACATGGAGGTTTTATAAAAATATACACAAAATTAGTTAAATTCCCCAAATCAGTGGGTCTGAAAATTGATGAACACCGGTACGGTGCAGGATTTTGATAACTCATATCTTGTCGTCCTGATGCATTCACCATACGAAACAGTGCGGAACTGAAGACAAGCGAAGGGTTTCACGCGACAGTGTACTGCACTGGCAGCTGCAGCAGTGTAGAGCCTAGCCGTGTATAAAACTCGTGTTCGAGAGTGCAGGGGCCTTTTTGTGTTACATACATCCTAGGGAAAGCATAGCATAGAGAGAACAACAAATTCTGTGTTGTCCTCGAACGATCATCATCTTTTGTTAAAAATGGTCCTCGAACGTGTCTGACATGTGCTAAGTCTACAGTGTTATATTATGGAACAAAGGGAAGCACAATGCATTGCCTTGTCCTCAGACATAGATGTAATGGTAACACGACTGTCCGGGCATGATAATGTTAGAACGATAGCGTGTGTTTGTTGGGGGGGGGGGGGGGGGGGGGGGGGGGGGGGCGGGGGGGGGGGGGGGGGGGGGGGGGGGGGGGTTCAAAATCATTAATCGTCCTATAAAGACGTTACTATGATCGTGACAAGACACAAAATTGCCAGATTGAAAAAGAAGAAGATATATTTACCTTTAACGTTATCTATGGCTTCCACTGATTCTACAGTCATCTTTACTTGGCCTCTAATGAAGCCACCTCGAAAGAATACATTCCTGTTTCCATCGAAAACAATCTGTAGGTTCTTCAGGTTTCCCATGGCGAAGTTTTTACGGGCTTCATTTCCCCCTCAAAGTATTCAAGCTCTTAAAATGCAGTTCAATAGCACGTATACATCAAGATGCAAACTACAGCAACATTCAAAGTGCAAAGTGTAAAGTCTGGAGTTTTAGGCTATTAGTATTGTAGTTTTGTCAATTACTATTAAACGGTCGATTCTGTTTTGTTGCAATGGTTTTAGTACGACAATGATTGAATGTACATGTATGTATCTATAGAGAGGTCGAAGTTCACCTATATTGATGATCAGACAGGTTCGAGCGATAGGCCAGATCAAACTTTTTACTTTTAAAACGTCCCTCATACAGTGTGACTCGGCGCGACCCCGAAATCGTACTCTTCGCGAAATTGTGTGACACTTCGTGGCTTCGGCGCAGGTGTACGTGTGTGTAGGTGCCGTACGTATTCTTATGGTGACCGGCGAACACTCAGTGTGCATGGGTACTGGACTGCGAGGTACATGGTTGCACGGATATTAAAAAAAAAACCATAAAAAAAACAGACCAACTAAACGGAAAACAAAACAAAAATCTTTCATTATCGAAATTTCATGAAGCGAAAATCGCAAAAAACGAAAAGGTGCAACTGCCATTTTCTCTATACAGTATTCTCCTAGAGCATCACAGGGGGGTTCTCTTAGAGCATCCCAGGGGATTCTCTTCAGCTTGCCAGGGCCTTTTCTGTTAGAACATCCATGGAGTTCTCTGAGAGATCCCGGACCACACTACACTGATTGCATATGTTCTCTAAGAGCATCCCGGGAAGCCGGGGGGGGGGGGGGGGGTCTCTCAGAGCATCCAACACACACAGTGCTCTGTTTGCATAGGGTTGCTCTAGGAGAACCTCTATGGAATCAGTGCGGTGTGGGCTGAGATGCTCTAAGAGAACCCCTTTGGTGCTCTAAGAGAACCCCATGCAATCAGTTCAGTGTGTGCGTGGATGTTGCGAGAAGTCCACTGGGATGCTCTAAGAGAAACATATATGCAATCAGTGCAGTGTTGCCAGTGGAACGCTCTAAGAAAACCCTTATGCACTCAGTGCAGTGTGGGCTGGTATGCTCTTCGAGGGCTATTGGAATGCTCCAGGAGAACTCCTATGCAGTCAGTGCAGTGTGGGCTGGGATGCTCTAAGAGGGCCCCTGGAATACTCTGGGAGAACCCCTATGGAATCAGTGCAGTGTGGGCTGGGATGCTCTAAGATAACCCCCTGAGGGGGGCTATAAGAGAACCCCTATGGAATCAGTGCAGTGTGGGCTGGGATGCTCTAAGAGAACCCCCTGAGGGGGGGGGGGGCTCTAAGAGAACCCCTATGCAGTCAGTGCAGTGTAGGCTGGGATGCTCTAAGAGAACCCCTGAGGGGGCTATAAGAGAACCCTTATGCAGTCAGTGCAGTGTGGGGTGGGATGCTCTAAGAGAACCCTTATGCACTCAGTGCAGTGTGGGCTGGTATGCTCTTCGAGGGCCATTGGAATGCTCCAGGAGAACTCCTATGCAGTCAGTGCAGTGTGGGCTGGGATGCTCTAAGAGGGCCCCTGGAATACTCTGGGAGAACCCCTATGGAATCAGTGCAGTGTGGGCTGGGATGCTCTAAGACAACCCCCTGAGGGGGCTATAAGAGAACACCTATGCAGTCAGTGCAGTGTGGGCTGGGATACTCTAAGAGAACCCCTGGGGGGGGGGGGGGGGGGCTCTAAGAGAACCCCTATGCAGTCAGTGCAGTGTGGGCCTGGATACTCTAAGAGAACCCCGCTCAGGGGGGCTCTAAGAGAACCCCTATGCAATCAGTGCAGTGTGGGCTATGATACTCTAAGAAGGATCCTGAAATGCCCTAAGAGAACCCCCTGCGGTGCTCTAAGAGAACCCCTATGCATTCAGTGCAGTGTGGACTGGGATGCTTTAAGAGGGACACTGGAATGCTCTAAGAGGGCCCCTGGAATGGTAAGAGAACCTCTGTGCAATCAGTGCACTATGGGCTGGGATGCTCTAACTTGAAGAGAACCGCTACTTTTCCCAGGAACAAACGGTCCAGATTTGTCCATGGTCGTAAGCTTGCCCTGGTTATTTGGACTTTAAATGCTGCATGTCTTTAATAATCATCTATCGGGAGCAGACGAATACATGTCTGTAGTTCAGCATAGAGTACACTGATTTAATTATAAGTAATCATTCAGCTCAAAAGAAACCACTCTTAATTGAGAGGCGACGTAAAACTGTCAGATTTAATATTACAGGAAAATTTAAACGTACATTTTAAAATACATTTTTGAAAACATAAACTGGGGATCGAGAGTGGTAACTATTAAAATGACACCCTACAACTATCAATTCCGTAAGAAATTTGATGCAATACTCATGAGTGTTATTATCAACAGGGATTTTTAGATTAATATGAAGATCGTTCAAATGTAAGCTTCATATAACATTGGGTATCGCGTTATGTTGAGTATTATTAAAAAGTGAAGCAGCATCAAGGGCGGATCCAGAACACAATTTTGGGGTTCGGGGCCCGCTTAAGGGCCCCGACAATTTTTTGGATTCTAGATGCTCTATGGTGCGATCTGAGGCAATTTCTGACCACTTTAACCAATGTTTTTTTGAGGAAAAGATGGTGGTGTACTCATTGCCTGCCTTTATTGCGATGTCACATAAAAAAAAAAAAAAATGGTTTCGTTTTTTTTTTTGGGGGGGGGGGCCATGGCCCCCTTTGGCCCCCCCGGATCCGCCCTTGAGCAGTATAGCCTATGCTTAAAACCTTTCAATTCGACTTAGCCCTTACGATATCTTAGAGAAACTGAAAAAAAATGTTAGAAAAAGATGGTAGTTCAACTTCCCCTTAACGACACCCAGACACAAACAAATTGATTGTGAAAATTCTGTTTTTAACCAAATAACAAAATAAAAATTGCTTCTGTATAGGTAATAATGGAAGAACTACTTAATTATCACTCGGCAAGCGCTCTGATAAAAATATGTACATATGTGAATTTAAAAAATACGGGTGTTTACAACAAAATGCTTGAAACAGCGCCACCATTTTGTGCCATCACGCTCAGAATATTTCGATCACTTTTGCTTATTTCCCTCATGCGTTGTATGGCCTACCCGACGCGCGCTTCTCATTAAAAACCCAGAGTGACGTGGTTGGATGGAGAACACAGGGTAGTGCTTTCGCGTTAACATTTATTGACCTCTCCGCGGCACGGAGGGCGATCGATGCCAGGCCGTGAAAGCCACTTATGTCCGGCCGAAGGTGTGCAGAGCTGAGCCCACCGACTCGCAGGTTGGAAAAGATGCCATCCGTTACGTAAGGATACGTACGCATTACGTACAGCAACCTATTCATCAATGGCATCCTCTCACAGACTCTTGCAATCTCCACCGACCGAGATCGACGATGAGGAAGACCGTCCTCCAGTTAAAGTAATCAGCGCTTAAAATCTAAGTGCCCGTGGTCGGGGCGGTGCGGTAATGACTATCGAACGTTAGCATCTGTCGAGGCATTTCTGCTGAGGAGAGGTTTGGCTCTACGGTACCACACTGCTTCAATTCATTTCCCTACACGGAGCATTCCTCGCATCACACTAATCAAGCGCGTCGCTTCAGCCCACCGTCTTCTCAATCCAGAGACACACGTGGAGAGGAAATCACACTGCCTGGTGCGAAAACAACGCGGAATTGATCCCAAATTATAAATTCAAAAAGCTATTTTTTTTTTAGTACAACGGGGTTGTAGATCTTCAGGGTGCTGCTCGACTAGAGTCATGGGGCGACTGACGGGACTTGCCCCCGTCACCTTTGCCGCGCTGTTCCTTGTTGCGACTCGCATCCACGGTAAGATTCAATCACATTATCATATGCACGTACTATTTGGTCATTGTCGATATACGCACGTCTATGCATGATTGAGTGTAGACACTGTCGAACATAACATGTCATATTCTAGATTTTAGATATTTTTTTGAAGGGTGCTGGTATATTAAAACATCGATGTTAGCATTTTTCAAAACAAAACCGATCCGATAACATAAAATCAACGAAATATAAGATTAAGTGATTGTATTCAGGTAAGTCTACATGTATCACATTTTATTCAAAAACGTATGCCACATTTATTTTTCGATTCGTTTCTCGGATAAAATAAGATAACAATACAAACTTCAGGGGTTTCGGTGGATATATATTTCCCCTTTTAAGAAATTAATCTATCCACTTTTTCGCTATTTATATACTGGTGTCTCATCGTCAATCCACGATGTACACGTTAATGCACTTCCTGCTTGCTGATCAACATCCACAGTGTCTCCTTTGCTTTAGGCCTGATGTAATAAAACATAATTTTGTCTAGTACATAGCCTTTCACTGTTCAGAGTTCGGTAATTGAGGTCGGCGTTATAATATCAAATTAGCTGCAGTTTTGATATAGATGTGGATATTATCAGTGACCTATTTAATTATGTTGTCGTGGCAAGAACTACAAGGGATTTCCTGTAAACGACCAATTTTAACAGACGAACATCACCCATTTTGCGTTGGCCGTCAGAAACACTTTCAAATTTCAACCAATTTTCTTTTATCCACCAAAACCAATAGTATGCATTACATTTGCGCGCCATTCCAAGCATAGACCGTTTCCCACCACAATAAACAGCGTAATTATATTCGGCGAAATAATGGATGGAGTACCGGGTTGACTGGGGAACCGAATGATGGACCACGCGATTGATGTCGATGGAGAATGGCGTGTACGGTATAGCACGGCAGATGGGAACGGATGTGTTGTTCCATCGGGTTCATTATGTATGTTCCTTACCAATAGTGTACTAGCTCTACGTAAGGAGATCAGAGGGCGACACGATTTCACAACAAAATGGCTCAGACAGTTTTTAGTAAGAGGGTCTCATTTCGTCAATTTTGACGATAATATAAAGATTGGCTCAAAACCCAATTAAGAAAGTGATGAGGTGGAACTGATGAGATGAAAATGACGAGTTGAAAGGGCGAGATATTAGTTCAAGTACTGTAGTGTTTTCCTCCTTGAGATCATAGCCGGACAAAATTAGTGTTCGTAAAAGGTAACACGAATTAATTATGTTAACCAAGGTGATAAAGATGGCCACGATAATAGCAATATCAGTAATGATGGTGATATAGATGGTGATTAAGGGGATGGTGATGGTGGTGGTGATGATGATGATGATGATTACAGGTGACCACGGCTACGACACTGAAAATAAATACCTGTGTTGTCAGATTAACACATCTGGTTTCAGCTTGTACAAGTCGACTTCGATATGGATACCGTACTTTTCATGCACAAGGTTCAAGATGATAGCAACAAAGTGAACGGATTTTTCAATCGCTAATCACATTATTACATCCAAATGCAGTTTTAGATTTTCTCCAAATAATTGATCTCAAAATAGCATCGATATTGAACTCAGTATACCGAGAATTTGCCACTCAACTGTACATCAAAAACATGACTTTATAGTTCTGTCCATTTTTCCACTCGACCAAAGCCAAATTAATTTTTATCCCGCATGGCAGGAAGAAAAAAAAAACCACGAAGACCTTTGGGCTGTAAATTGTAAATGTGCTCGCTGGAGTGTAAACAAAGTTGATGTACCAGTATTGGTTGTAATTATGCATAAATCGCTGGAGATTGCCGGGGTGTGAGGTGTATTCTCGGTAAGGTAGGCGAGCCCCTCAGGTAACCTGTTATTTCCGCGCACTAACGGCAGTGACCGCGCCGAATGTATTAAAGGTGTACGGTCTATGGCATGGGTATTCTTTTCACCCAAATGCGATTAAAGGTGTTCATTTTGCTTTAATTCCCAAAAACGAATGCGTTGCCACAAGAAGAAATGCGGTTTTTAGAGGCAAAAGGGCGACTTGTTTAACATTTAGGGGGGAAATGGCTTTGAATAAAAAAGAGGAAAGGTAATAGCCGAATGTGCTGAAATAGTTCATAATTATGCATCAAACCGCGCACCTAAACTGACATTTCTGTCACGTCCGTTTTTAGAATATCTCAAAAGCAGCAAAACTCCTACGTATTGCCATTTGAAAAAGCAAGGACGTGTTTAGGTTTCGCTTTTTTTTAATAGAAAGCTGGTTATTTATTAGTCTTTGAATATACAGCGTTTACAGTTTTGACTGCATTGAAGAGGAAACGCCAACACAAATATCAGAAAATAGAAAACCATTGCAATGAGAGGTGGAAGCATGGAATGACGTGACACGCACCGCACCTCCACAATTCTTTTTTGCGGGGGGGGGGAAATAATTATTTTTCAAGTCCCCAAAACAAGGAGATGTCCCTTAAAAAAATGTCGTTCTTACAAGGGCATGAGTATGCATGGGAGTTTATATTCCCAAACGTTTTTTCTTACCCAAGGAATAAAACTATGGATCACTACATTGGATCACACCGTATGGTGCATATTGTTATGAAAGGTCAGCCAATGCAAACTACCTTGAAAAATTGAATTACGGAGATCGGTTCGGTGACATTAGTCCCAGAAGTTCACGCCAGCCAGTCGCATTCTGCACCATATATCTGTTTGGGCAATTCAAGTCGACGTATCGGGCCATGGTGACTGCGGCCAAACGTAAGAATGAAATCATCCCTTTTATGTATTTCTTCACGCTGATGATGAGCAAAAGGTCATGCAACCTTTTTAAATCTTCTTACACAAGAAGGCGACAGGTTACCTGTCCTGTCAACACTTTGGGTATCATCCGAGAAGTCAGTTATCATTAAAAAAAAAGGCATCTCGCAGAATCTGCCATGTGGATCCTCCATTGTACAAATCATTGCGGCCGGAAATTACCGGTACATGTACCGCAAAATAATCCAGAGCTTTTTAAATGATTTAGGGGGCCTACTACACAATCGTTTCCTCGTTCCAATCGCCCTATCCATGCACGTTAGTGAACGTTAATCGCTTTCACACACACATTTTGTGACATTCGAAAAGCAGACTTAAGGCATTGTGAGTAGTTTACTACCCAAACCAACGCACGTGCATTTTGTGCGAATGTTTCGTGCGCACGCACAAAATTAGTGTTCGGTTCCAGACCTTAAGATTCTGCATACTGATTTCCAACTCTAAAGATTCAGACTATACAAGGGCGGATCCAGAACACAATTTTTTGGGGGCCAAAAAATATTTTGGTCACCCAAAAAAGTGGGTCAAAAAAATTACGGCGTGGGGTTCGGGGCCCGCTTAAGGGCTCCGAAATTTTGTTGGATTCTAGATGCTCTGTGGTGCGATCTGAGGCAATTTCTGACCACTTTAACCAATGTTTTTTTGAGGAAAAGATGGTGGTGTACTCATTGCCTGCCTTTATTGCGATGTCCCAAAAAAAAAAAAAAGGGTTTCGTTTTTTTTTTGGGGGGGGGGGGGGCATGGCCCCCTTTGGCCCCCCTCCCCCTGGATCCGCCCTTGAGACTATACAGGGTGAATAACAAAAAAGTAACCCAAATGTCGGGACCATTGTTTTAGTGAAGTTCTGCATGTAGCACTTTCAAAATCTAGGATTTGAAAGCCCGATTCATAAGCTTTGTTTTAGTACAAGAATCATTCAAATCACTTATGTACTTATGTACAAAAAAAGTTCAGTGTTCTTTCAGCAAATTGAAAACGAATCACATGAGGATGTGTGTGAATCGTTTTCGTTTTGCTGAAAGAACACACACTTTTTTGTGATCTGTGGACAGAGCTTTAAAACGGCGGTTGTGTTTAAAACTCATAAGTGATGTGAATGATTCTTGTACTAAAAAAACCCTTATGAATTGGGCTTTTATATCCGAGAATTTGAAAGTGCTACATGCAGAACTTCACTAAAACAATGGTCCCGACATTTGGGTTTCGTTTTTTTTACTCACCCTGTATATGCTGACTTATTTTGGTGGCCGAAATTCCTGGGGGAAAAAGGGCCAACATTTTTCGAACGCGTTTTGCCCGTTGATATGCTGTTGGTTGGATTTGGTTGCATTTTACCAGCAATGAATGCATTTCACCGACGAAATACCTGTATGCCTAATGTTTGTTATCAATCCTGATATTGACTACATTTAGGGCAATTGCGAAATTTGATGCCATACGGCGCTTATAAGCCAACGTCGGTAATGTGAAAACAAGGAGGCCTATGTACTTATAGAGGTATTAGGACCTGAATCCCCGAATATTTTAGGTTTTCGATTGTTTACTTATCCTATTTGCATAGTTTGAAGGAAAGTAACCTAATGTCTTACAGTTCCCGAGAAAAAAAACCCGGTTGTTTACATCGGACACGGCGGAATTTTTGTGGCGTACGGATATACGTATTTCCAGCCGTAAATAAGTCATGGAATTATGTATCTCGGCGCGGTGACAGCATCAGACTGGCGTGGCAAATAGCTGCGGTATATTCGATTAATCTAACACAGGGAGGTGGTTTTCACTCAAATACGTCAATATATATTTACTCAACCGATGAACACACATGCCTTTTTGAGAAATGTTTTCAAAGGAACATAATCTGAGACTGGAATCTCGATAAGCATCCAAACAGCTCGATTTAGTTTAAAGTCAAATTCGTTCTCTCGCGCCATCGCAACAATAACCCTAAAACGCTGCATATTTAAATTCTGTACATTTAAATTCTCTTTCCAATTAAAATGCGTTTTGTAGCCCGATTCGGCACATTCCAGGACGAAATATCCTTTTAACTTGAACAAGGGCAGTGCTTTCCTTCATTTTGCTGCAAGTAAAAAACGTACCTGACACACAGTCTATAATTACGTCAGGGGATGGTAACTGCCAAACAAAATATAGAAGTTGTAGGTCAATAGCCCCTCTGTATAGGGTGGTGGGTACCGTACCGAATGTTGATGCTGCCTGCCATGAAATTGCTCCACGGTGAAAAAAAAATAACTAAAGCCTCTTTCTCAGACCATAATTATTGTGACTGTACTGTGGGGACGATAATATTTAAGAAACAGTTGAGAACGATCAAGGTGATGTACCCAGGAAATGGACTCCACTGATTTTTTTTTCAGGAGGTCACACATTGAAATTAAAGAGACTGAAAGTAAAGGGTCACGCGGCGAGCTTCCCGTCTACGACCCCTCGCGCGGCCGCCTACGGGCATTTTCACTCAGGCTGCCCTTTTACTTGCTATAATTTTTGACAGAATGATTTCTAACCGTAATCACCCCAAGAAAAATTCGTGTTGGATTTTATCTTGGTATTCCTCAAGAAAACACTTAGAGATCGTTAAAAAACGAATTTTTCTTACGACCTTTCACATCCGGCATTTTCGTTCCTATATGTCTCCTTGTTCGTTCACGTTCATTTGTACATCGCGTACTGGCTTGAGGACGAAAATGTGTAACAGCGCGCGAAGATTCACCTGCCTACAGCCGATGGGTTCTAGATTAAGTCTAGCTGACTTGAATGCAGTCCATATCAGCGGTCATTTTAGATATTTTTGCAAATGCTAATGTGTCCTTCAAGTTTATTTTAATTGTTTTTTTTTAGCCCTACAAGAAAGGTTCAGTTTTACCCAATGGTCGCCATAATAGTCCACATGTATTTTAGATTTGCAGAAGTGAATGGTCAATGTTTGGTACGATTTTAAAATTCACATCAGGCGATTTTTCAGTTGCAATAAATTGAGATGCAAGTAAGGGTTAAACAAAGGCTTTTTCTTAAGAAATCAATGTACCAAAAGTAATTGCGCAATAATTTTCCTATTCAAGGGTTCCGGAAGCGCGCCACCAGGGGGGAACTTTCAGGCTCTGTTGTAAAATACGCCACGTGATCAATTCTGGTCCAATGAAATTTCACCATATATTACCAGGGTGTTAAACTAGCCACTGTTTCCTTCTCAGTGCAATCTATGGAGCTCCAGGAGTACGAGTTGGTAGACCACCTCCTACAAGACTATTATCCACTGGTCAGGCCGGTAGCCGACCACCGTGACGTCATCGATGTCCTGATGGACATGACGCTGGTAGAGATTGTTAATATGGTGAGTATGGTAGTACATTGCTGGAGATTTAACATCAAAAAGGATGTCAGTTGTCGTGTTTCCCTAATTGAAAAATATTTCAATCCGGATTCTGTGTCGATTATTTAATTGTTCCTTAATGGAGCACTTTCGAAAACGCGTTTACCAAGACATGATAATAGTTGGAAAGACGGTTCAAAAATAGAGCATGAACAACCACAAAAATGTCCGGACGATGTACACCTTTAATTTTCCAAAGCACATACAAGACGGGCAGCACACAATATTGATTGAACGTTTTCTATTATATTAAACCAAGTCTACGCAACTGGTATTTATACGCCAGTTGAGTATACGCCAGTGAATCGTTTGGCTTTTTTGGGTTGAGAATTGGAGGCAAAACGGACCAAAGCATCCTTGAAAATAGTCTAGCCTAGAGTCAATGTGCGAAAATCAATAAAGGTCAAAATTGTGTCGCATTAAATTCACGACGACATGAGTTTTAAGTGGCAGTTCAGTGCAGTATGCGCAAGTTTCGAACCATACGTGCCATCCGCGTAGACATTATAATGTAAACTAATCGATTTTTTTCCTCGGTGTACTGCACGGTTCACTGCGTATCTCCCTGGGCAGGACAAAGCCAGTGGACCATTTCCTTTTGTAAATGACAAAAAAAAGTTCACATCTGATTTTCAAATACCTATAAGTACTTGATAACGAGCACAATGTATTTTTATTTGGTCAATTTGGCTTGGTTGTTGCGCTTAAGAAAATGACAGAATTGACATGATACATTTGGTTTCAAATTTGTGTTTGTTTTCCCAGGACGAGGAAAACCAAATTATGGTCATCAGCGTGTGGATGTATCAAGTAAGTTAACTTGGAACAAGAAAGAGGTGCCATTAGTTTTACAAATGGTGCTCATATCTTTAAAAAAAATAAATGTTGCAGTCTTGTAGAATCATGAACCGTAGATATAGACCTTATGCAGTAGGGCGGAGTCAGAAGGCAATGTATTTTCGTCGCCAGGATAGGCTTGAGTAAAACTATTGTATGCATTCAATGTGTAAATTAAAGTATTAATTAAAGAGCATTTGTGGAGATACCTGCACCATATAAGGGATATTGTCCTTCGTGCAATGCACAATGATGTAGCTCTCTGGCTACACTATTACTGTGTATATAGTTGTCATGTTTGTTGTAACATCGGTTACGATGACACAATGATATTGGTGCGTCTAACTGTGAGAAATAATCAATTACGCTAATGGCAAAATGGTGACACTCTGACAGTGACGATATTGACGCCTTATCCTTTAATGCTATTTGATTGATTTTTTCAGCAATGGAAGGATTCCAACCTTCAATGGAACCCTCCCGATTTCTACAACATCACTCAGATAACTCTTCCGTCTACAGACATCTGGAAACCAGACATCGTTCTGTATAACAAGTAATAAGAGTTCACTTTCTTGTATACAGCCTGTCAAAAAGAAAATGGTACAATCAGAAAAAAAAAATGGTTAAATATGAAATTTCAAAATAAGTCATTCTTAATACTTGACATAATATTAAAGAACAAAGACTGGGCTTTCCAATAGTGTTTGTTTGATCTTATTTGCTTTTGTCAATTCAGAGATATAATCAATTTAGTGCGATACACCAAAATCGATTTTGTGCCACTTTTATGCATGGGCAGAGTTGTTTCGAGTACTGTGCCATGCTGTCTTGAAGCTCACAAAAGATTGCAACTTGGCAAAAGAAACAAACTCGATTTTTGTGTTCCGCAGTAAACTGGAGTTATCTCTGGATTGACAAAAGCAAATGAGATGAAACAAAAAGTATTGGAAAGCCTGGTCTTTTTTCTTTAATGTGATGCTCAAAACGACTTACTTATGTTGAGATTTAATATTGAAAAAATAAATCGTTTTCGATTGTACCATTTTTTTTGAGACGGGCTGTTTATTTGCAAATTGGATGTTGTGGTCACGTACGTATGCCTACGCGATGCCAACGTTCAGCAAACTGTTCTCCAAAACCACCTGGTACCCTGCACTGCATGTGTAACTCTTGAAATGTGATTGGCGTAAAGTTGTGACATAAATGCGGGCAAAATAGCATGCAAAGATGGTTAACTGTTTGGGTTGCACTTTGTTTGCCCGTTGGTATGAAGTCACATGCAGAAAATAATCTATAGAAAGGCCAACTCACTTGGTATCGTTAATTACGTGGGAAGGTAATGAATTAGGAACTTCAGCATAACTCTTACTTTTTGTGGCATCGAACAGGGTCAAAATAATGGATAGGAACATCAAGACTGCGCCCTGTCACACCGCTCACGAAATCAGAATGTTCTGTTGTCACATGATGCCGACTTCCTGCAAACTGGTCTATTCTGCACAATGGATGTACATGTAGCTTGAAAGTATTGGTTGGCATTATGCAATATTATGACAGCAGATTGGATCATAGCTGTTTCGCCTGAACGGGCAAGTGGCGAGCATAACGTCATGAGTGGCATTGTCAATATTGGAGCTCTTTTAAAATCACCCCCGCCCCAAAACTTCGTTCCTCCTACAAAGTGGACCCTATTTTTTTATCTAGTTATTTCCCAAAAGAAGACATGGAAGTGTGTGTTAGAATTTTGAGAAAGATATGCAGCCATGTAAAAGAAATGCGTACAAATACGTGCAGATGTCAAATTTTTTATTTTGTGAAAAATAGCATCAAGCATCGTTTTAAATGTCAGCAAGGGAGAAGGGAGTCTTCAATTTACGGACACTCATCATACGCGAGAAAATGCAATTAAATGCATTTAATCAGCAAACGAGCAGAGTGCAATGACTTCTGGGGTTAAAGTTATATGTACGCCAGAAGGTAGGAAATTAATATTAGGTATGATGTTTTTTACTCGCAGCGCCAACGACAACCTAAATGGTGGTATACGCAAGACGCGTGCCCTCATCGATTTTGACGGCACAGTCACGTGGAAGACACCGGCCATCCTGATGAGCGCCTGCGAGATGAACCCGCTCTTCTTCCCCTTCGACATTCAGAACTGCTCGCTCAAGTTCGGTTCCTGGACATTCCACGGTGACCAGCTCAACCTACAGCTGAATGTCACCTCGGCCGATACCTCCATGTTCCAGGGCAATGGGGAGTGGAACTTGCTCGGTGAGTACGGACACAGCGCCCCCATTGCTGGAGCTTGAATATGGCGCGCATGGATATGCTCGGGATATCTCGGGACAAAGTCCCAAGGTTCCCAAGACTGCATTTGATAAATCTTGTTTATAGCGCCCTCTACCGCCGCGTCGGCTTGAACTCGCTTGCCGGAGATGGTGATCTGCTGAATCGCGGGAAATCCAAAATTCAGGCTTGGAGCAAGGCTATCACAAGTAAAATCACAAGTCAGTCTCAAGTATAGGTTACAAGAAACAGGATGAACAATGACAAAGAAAATGTCATTTTTTAATAGCTTGTCATTTCCCTCAAGACTGAATGACTTGTGATTGACTTGCGATCGACTTGACTATAACTCCCCCCCCCTTTCATCTACAGAGATGCCGGCATTGCGCGAGGTCAGCTACTACCCTTGTTGTACCGAGGCTTACCCAATCGTCACCTTCTACGTGGTACTGGAGCGCCGGTCCCTGTTCTACATGTTCAACCTGGTGCTGCCCTGCGTGCTGATCGCATCCATCGTCTTGTTTGGTTTCTTCCTGCCGTCTGACGCCGGCGAGAAGATCACGCTGACCATCACCATCCTGCTGGCCCTCACCGTGTTCCTGCTGCTGGTTGCCGAGACTATCCCACCCACGTCCGAGGTTATCCCCCTCATAGGTAAGCTGCTGTCAGTTGTTGGTTTCCGCTCAAACACTAAATAAAAACTTGGTAAATATTATGACCACAACAGAAGAACGCAATTTCAAATTTGGTCACAAATTTGTGTCTCAAATTTGTGTCTCAGGGGTCAAACTAACGACTTTTATTGAGGAGGATCGGGAATCTGGTCATAAAGAACGTTTGTGAATGCACTAGGCCTATATCGTAATGTACCAGCAAATTGCAGTATTCAATTTTTGCTTTTAATTTGGTCAAGAAAGTAACAATAAGCTTAAAATCAAGCTGTGACATTTAAGGTTTACGTTCTTGTTGAAAATTGTGTTGCAGGACAATTCTATGCCGCCATCATCGTCTTAGTTGGCTTATGCGCCTCACTGACCGTCGTCATACTAAGCGTTCACCATCGGGGCGATTGCACTCACGTGCCCCGCTGGGTCCACACTCTGATCTTGGTCAAGCTGGCCACCATACTCCACGTCCGAAACCAGATCTCCCAGTCCTCTATGGAGATGGAACTGCACGCGCCGTCCGAGGTCGACATGGGCAGCATGTCGCCGCGAGGTGGCGTCCTCAACCCCATATTCGAAGGGGACGACGGGATCGAGGAGCAGCACCACCAGCAGCAGGACGACGAACGTAGAGGGAGCTCTTCAGAAAAAGCTGGATCGGCCATGATGGAGCGACAGCTCTCTACGGGAGCGGACACCAACATCATCGAGCAATACATTACGTCCATATCCAAGAACGTTTCATATTTGGTGCGGCGGGGACGCGACGAGGACAGCAGTCAGAAGGTGGCTACGGAATGGCAGGAGGTTGCCATGGTGCTGGATCGACTGTTTATGGTCGTCTTCTCATTTCTTATCGCTTTCGTGGCGCTGTCCACCTTACTAGCGGCAGCCATGCGTGTGTCCCTTTTGTAGCGGGAATTTCTTTTCTTCCTCCTTCCCGTCGATCTTCCTTTATTTTGAGGCAACTCGACCGTGAGGCGCTTAAATTAATGATACCCCACATCATGCAAAATAAGCAAGAACGGAATCCATAGACATCGTTATGTCAATCTTTTTTTTTCAAAGAGCCAACAAAATCATCATACAAAGCGTGATACTGGAACGGCTAAAAACAGTTCAGTTTAGTCTTTCGCTGATCATGCGCACTCTGACAGTGGAGCTGACACCGCAACTTATGACGATGTTCATAAATGAACTGTCTATAGAAAACATTCCACTCTTAGTTATTTTTGGACTTATCTGGGTTTTTCTCTCTCAATATGCCAGTGCTGTGGTAGTCATTAGCCGTTTTGAAGTGTGGCAGACAGAATGGAGGGCGCTATTTTAGAGCAGGTAAGCTCTTGTATTTACTGAAATTTACCCACTTCAAATAACGCCCTCCTATTTGTCCGCCACACTAAAAGGGAAATCGTCATTGTAATTCTTTTGTACGCAGTTGAATGTGTATGTGAATGTCATATCATTTAGTGTTGATTCTTCGCTGTATAGGGGCAGGTCCTCGTTCCAATAGGTGTACGTATTCTGTATGAATAACTTGAAACAGTATCGACTAACATAAACTAAGGATAAGTAGAATATTTTACTGACACTTTGTAAACAAAGGATTATGAAAATAATTATATTTGTAACCACTGCTTTGTACAGTACAAAAAAAATTCATGTTCATTTGAAAAGTTTATACTTTGACAATTCAGAATTGCAGGCAGTTATCGTGTACGGATCTGTACGTGGTCAGGGAAGGGCGCCCTCGGGCATTCAAAATTACTTGGCTACGGCCGGTTGAGTCAACTTCGAATAGACTCGTGTGTTACTGCCGGTGTAGCGTGAAATTACGACTCTGTGAAATACTCATTGGTAGTATCGCGCATGCGTAAGTATGATAATTTGGAGAGTGACCAGTCACGTGAGAGAGTTTAACCAATAATAGCGTAAATGTGTCCAATTTTCATAGGGGTCCGATTTTCATATGCCACCGGCCGTAGCCTTTATTTCTCATAGAATGAGCAAGTTTAAGATTTCACGATTTTCTCTTCGGGATAAACAAACTACTGTGTACGCTTGCGAAATGGAATTCCCATCGAAATAAAAAAAGTCTTGTTTTGCATTTGATGTGTTTTAGAGGAGCATATTTACATTTAAACTTTCGTGCGAACAGTGTTTTTGTGTTTTCGTTTTAATTGCAAGAAAAAAATATTCATAATTAATTTTGGTTAACATTACCCAATAGACTTGTGTATACATATCTATTGCGTTAAACCAGTCAAAATTTGGTAAAATTCGGCATGGAAAAGTTAAAACATAGAATACATTGAATGATATATTACAACTGTACAACGGAAGATACTGTACATGCCTACAGATAAAAGTACAATTGTTTTAATGTATTATGTTTAAAAATTTAAAAAACAAACAGTTCACATATTTCAGTACTTAAAACCCACTCATCGATGTAAATAGATATTCGTTTGCGATACGTTGATTTGTTTCCCGTAACGTGTGTTGGGTGTCAATATGTATTTATTTAACAAACTAACATTTGTTTTATCAATCAGTATATCTTTATAATGTCTTGCTGTAAAAAATACATTACAAACCAAGTATCGTAAGTTGTAATTTAATTAAAGTGTGAATATTTATAAAAAGGAATATAGATCCGAAAGGTCTGAAATTAGTTGTGTGTGTAAGGAAGCCGCGCATGGCAAAATGACATTTTAGAAACTAGAAAGCTATTTCAGCTGATCCGTACAAATGTACGGACACGAGATCTTAACACGGTCATATCCACGGGAAGCCATTGACCTCTACACTAACGAACTGGCAGACAGTGCTCACACATGAAGCAGCCGTCCGCCATTTTGGGTCACTCATGACGCATGCGCAGTAAGTTCGTCTATGCATGATTTGTCGTCAGAGTTGAAGCGTTGACCAAAAAAAAATCTGATCGGCTTTTGAGATACAATCGTTTTCCAGGGCTGGCCAAAATCCAAACAATAGCTGACAACTGTAGGGGGATTGTTTTAAGTGAAACAAAAAATCAACTGCATACTGATACAAATTTTACGTCTCGGCGTGAAGTTTTGGCGAACCGCAAGTACGGAATTGTGTCAAGGCGCATTCGCAAATTAGCGTTTCACAGCGCAACTAAGCGTACAGCGGAGAGGTCATTTCTTAACGTCACGGTCATTTTATTCAACTTTAATTCCTGTATATTTAGTTTGCTACTTTCTGTAATTTACTGTAATTGTTTATTTCCCGCGGGCAAAAACGCATTTGAAAGCATCGAAGTTAAACTCACTGTTGTTGACACGGAAACATTTTAACCTAAATCGAGCACGACAGCAAAGTAAAAGCTGCCGAGTCGTAATGCCAAGAAAAACAACACCTTTTGGTTGAAAAAGTAATTGTTAAACACTTGTATGTTGGTGGAACTTAAATACCACTAGAAGGCGCCGTGCATGAAACATTGATTATGCATGATTGACATCAGAAGAGCTCAGCTTGAAGTTGACGTAGGGCGCCCTCGTTTGTCGATAATACAGCACTGTAGTTTTCATTCGGTCAGCGGCGTAACTAGGGTCTTCGCTCGTACCCATCTAAAGGGCTTATCTCCTGCACAAATTTGGTGAAGGAAGCGCAGGCGCGCAAAGCATTGTGGGCAGCTTACTGCCCAATGCACGTACATTCTGTGTGCGCACGTGTCATGTGCAGGCGAAAGTGTTTGTGTCTTCTAACAAATTTTATCCAATGGGGGCTCGAAGAAGTTACGTCATTCATGCAGAATAAATTAATTAGCACTTCCCAGCGCCCTGTTTGGGCGGTGGATACGAGCGAAAAGTAGCGTCAAACTTCTGGGGAGGGCACTTGGGGTGCATAATTCAGTGGGGCACTAAATGTAAACGTAACGTACCATTTCAACATTGAAGTATAATTTTTTTTTTTCAAGTCAATGTTTCAAATGGGGGTCCCGGGGGACACGGATAACTGCTGGGGGTGACCCCGCCCCCGTACTTAATTATGCCACTGATGACAACATTATCTCATTTTAACATTATCATCGTAATATACTTGTAAAATTGATCTGGACCTAGTTATCATAAAATAGGACATCCTTTATATCGTAAAAAGGACAAAGGGAACATCCTCATTTGGATGTCTCTTTATGTAGGTACATTTTGCGCTATTGGTATTCGAATAATCATAAACGTACTAATTGGCGTCGCCAGGTGAATTTGTATGGGGAGTTTGACCACATAGTATTGCACAAAAGACCATTACGGTCAGATACGTATAGCCATATTTGTAAAGAATGGATTCTGTGTATATTTCAGTCTTGCAGTTCGTACTTTCTGTGTTTTTTTCTGTATTTTTGTAAGGGCAATAATTCTGCTGTTAAAACAAAGAATGCCCGACCGTGATGATATTCGGTTCTACGCCGGCGGCCGCAAACTAGTGTACATGTAACTGCTTGTGGCGGAGTGGACCACCGCAGTGCGCCGTCAACATTGATCCGAACCCCGCCGACTTGGTATGTCACACAGATGTCCCCGTACTTTTCAATCTATATAAACGACCGCTATCCGGTAATGAATTTACAACAAAATATCGTAATTTGTGAGAACAAATTGGGCTTGTCCAAACGCATCGGTGAGTTCTTGCATGAAGAATTCAATTTGGGGGGCTCTTCTCCGAATGGGGCCTTCCAGAATACACGGATGATTTATCCTAGACGTTGGACTTAAGGGATGCAGGTTTTGGGACGAGGGGATGTACTGAGGCAAATCGAGGGATTAGATGCCGCGCAGGGCCCGGGCAGAATTCCCTCGCAGCTTCGGCGGTGCTTTGAGTCCGTGTCATTTCTATTTACTCTGTAAATCTGTTGGCAAAACACATTCTAGGCGCGCATTCTTTGGCGAAATTAAAAACAAACCAAAACAAAAATTTAACGGGCATAAGCTCGACCCCTGTGGGTGGCCGTTCGACAGATCGACCCGAGGGGTAGAGAAAAAAAGAGGGAGAGAAAAAGAATATAAGAAAAAGAAAAAAATATGATTTAATGTCTGGGTGTTGGGTGAAACTATCGCTCTTGACTGGCATAATTTGGTTTTAGGTTTGCGTCGATGAGCGCAAGATTATGACGCGGGGCTGGCTCCCGTTACAGACGTTATCTGAAATCGGAATCTATGAGCGCTTATACAATTGTGTTTTAAAATAGAAATGGTGAATTCCTGGGCTGTAAGAGGTACGGTCCTGGCGGGGTTGATGGCCACATCGCACACGAACAGAGGCCACCGACGGGCTGATGTGTTTTCTCGGAGATTTCAAAACTAACTTGAAAAAAAAATGTTTAACCTGATACAAAAGCTCAAACTACAGAATTTATAGCCTGTAGTGGTCCAAAGGCCGAAGTTGGTGGAATTTGGCCGAGTCGAAGAAAGGTCTGGAACTCTCAAAAATCCTCCATCTCCGGCACTTCTAACTTCACATGCAGGCAATGACAACCTTCCCGTCAGTATATGTCAAAGCGATGTAACAATTATAACTGACTTTCAAACTGAGCAACTCCACCTCATAACCATTGTAGTGTGAATATCAAAACTGAAAAAACCCTCTCGTTGCTAAATGAGCATCAGGCGTTGCAGTGACGTACTAATGCGGTGCAATATTTGCAGGGGGGGGGGGGGGGACCTCAGGCTGCTGGCTGGTACCCTTCGAATGGAGAGTGTAAACACACAAGATTCTGGAGCACAAAAATTAACGGCACGTTTAGATCCAGACAGACCGCAAGGTAGTGTGGTGTCACAAACCAAACAAGAACTTTTAAAACCGGGAACCGATATTGGGTACTAGGAACAAATAAATTAGGTCAATACAGGGTGAGTAAAAAAATAGTGACCGAACTATAAAAAAAAAAATTGGTAAAAATATGTGGCACGCTCCATTAAGTAAAAACTAATTTGAGGAATATAAGTACATGACATATATGTCATTGACGAGTAACTCCAAATTTCACGTAATTTGCATACTCTATTTACAAGTTATTTTTGTTTTAATATAAACACCACCAATTCAGCTGTCCACCAATGATCATTTATCGAAAAGGATACGTATTGACGAATACCCTTTAAACACAATGAATCAATTAAGTAGGCCCCTACTTCACGAACAAGTCACTATAAATTTCATTTTAAATTTTCTCGCTTTCTGAGAGTATGATTATGCAACATGAGGGACTGTAGGTGAATGTTCGCGCATCCTGGTCACTACATGTCCCAGTCACTGAAAACCAGCCAGCAAGACATTTCTCTGTCCGAATGCATGAGTATCGTGTTCCGTGCAGCTGCAGGGGTAGTTCACACCCCGCGCGCCCCGACCGTTAATTCCGTCAATTTTACCCGGTATCGGGTACCTCAGCGGACGGTTCCCTGTGGATTGCCCGGGGAGGGTGGTAGACCAGACCCGACCCAACCGGTACGGTCCCCCCCCCCCCCCCCCCCCCCAAATAAACCTGTGGCATATTTTGGTCACTATTGCTTTTTTTCTTGAGTGGTAATATAACTTTTTTTTGTTTTCCCAAAGGTTGGCGGCGCTGCTTTTGTCTCCCCGCACCTGGCTGACAGGGTTGTTTTGTTTAGTTTGCTACGTAAACACGGCGGCCAGCCACCCTTTTGGATGCCTACCAACGGATTTTATCACTTACTCTTTTCTCACCTGCCAGCGAATTACGCCCAATTTCTGTGTCTCCATCAAAAAGCTTTATCGCGATATTGCTCACATTATGTGGATGAGGAAGGTTTTTTTTAAGTACTATGTTTTGGATTTATTCTGCCAATTGGCATCTCCGCGGCATCGTTTATTGTCAGAATTACGGAGGCAGCTTGTCCAAACACGACAACCTCACAGTGGCAAATCGGATTGTTATAGGGCCGCAGTTTGATGCTGTTCAATATCTTGCCCAGTAGGATCCACGATCGCTTGGGGAGAAGCTTTAACACACAAGCGAATACCATCGGCATCTTTTCCATGATCCCTGGGACAACAGGCTCCCGTAACTCGATCCGCCAGAAATACTCGGTCATTTATAGTTTGGCAACAGTAAATTCGTCCCAATATCAATGTTTAATATCATAGCGTCAACATGTTTGTTTGCACAAGGGCCGGGCCTGTCTTTCCCCGGTGCGTCTACCGCTGGGCTGAGGCGGGAGCATGGGCGCATCGCGCCGGCCCAGGCGGGTTTCGGGGTGGCCGCGCCCTGCTGCGAGGCAGCTGTACTCGCTGCGGAGCCCGGGACTCGTCACACAGTACTGAGCAAACAAATGACAAATTGGTACATCAAAATTTAATAGACCACTCCGTCGCTACCAATCGTGCCGTTTGAATTGGACTCCCCTGCTCTCTCTCTGTCCTTTTCTCTCCCCATACCGGCCGGCGGAATCTCCCCTGCTTTGCCCGGGGAGCTAAAACCAAATCGAGTGTGACGGCTGGAAGGGGCCGCCCCGAAGTACTCCAGCCTTGACACGGCACACACCGTTGGACCCTTGGGTTTACGGGACCGAACGCCCAAGCAGCGACGTGCAAAACTATTACGGATTGGGATGATTCGATTAAAATTGTGACAAACTAGAGCCCAGTGTGTGTCCGCTGGTGAGGTCAGAGTAGACAGGTACTGCATTAGGTGAGGCATGGGGAGTTGGATTCCGTGATGTCATGAGATCTGACATGTACCGCCATGGACCGTGCGTGTGTGACATCGACTTCAGAGGTGAAACAGATTGGGAAATGTGAGGAGCCAAACCAACGACTGTTACCTGTACATTGAATCGTCTCTTTTTAAATTCAAAAATCCTGTCCAAGCCATTTTCCTCTTTTCAAAACTTGAGAATCAGGCAGTTGGTAATGAATTGGAATCTTCTTACCAACACATTTTTTGGTAATTTATGCCTGAAATCCGAATCATGCGAGCTCGCACTGTGTTACTAAGCTACGAAGATGTTTTAATGGTCGTAAGTGAAATTTGTACCTCAAGTGAGCAAAAAACATTGCTGTTCCAGGCGATAGTTTCAGTCTTTGAAGTTTATTTGTGGAAATTGGTTGAGCAAAATTAATTCTTGCTTTACAAGATTATTTCAAATTGCCACTGTTTATTTCAAGCCGTGATAGATTTTTTTTCCATAAAGTATATAATTTAGAGAGGCACGGATAAATGTAAAATAAAAAGTCATAATATGTAATTTGCGTCGCAATGATGAAAATTCAATATTAGGGTTTACCTTTCAAATTCAATAGTGCTTTTTGCCCTTCACCGATGTTTGCACTAGTAAGCAGAAGGTCGTGGGTTCGAGTCCCACCCGAGTGATTTTTGGTCACATTCACTCGGGACAACACTGAGTATACAGTGTTTATGGAAGAAAAAATAATACCCAATAATTAATATAAACAATGAACAAACCACTTTAGAAATGATATTTAAAAAGGCCTTGCCTCATTAAATCATGAATGAACGAATGCTTTGACATCATGCATGTAAAGATTGTGCTTCCACAAAATGATCACAAGGTACTTTGTATACTTGTATTGATGCCCTTCAATTCTACAGGTGAAAAAACTGAGCTTAAAGCATGAATCTTGATGTCTTCAGGTTTGGTGATTTTTTTTTATCATGACGTCTTCCTAACCACACAGGCTTAGCCAGCCTGGTGTCAGGTTCTTTTCTTTTTTTTGCTGGTCTCGATGGGCTAGCTTGTAGTGTTCTCTGTGTTTGACTGACTGACTACCCGTCACTTGTGACTAATACCTATCTCACTGTCACTAAAGATTGGTAATCTATCTCACTAACTGACTGCCACTTGTGACTTTAGACTGAATACCAATCTCACTGAATGACTATCACTTAATTGTGACTTAGACTGAGTACGGACTGACTGTCACTCGTGACTTGGACTGGTTACCTATCTCACTGACTGATCTATCTCACCGACTGACTGGCACTTGTCACTGTAATAGACTGAGTACCAATCTCACTGACTATCACTTATGACTTTGACTTGTCTATTACCAGCTTGCCTATAGGCTATGATTTTGTAAAAAAACAACAACAAAGTGGACCCTTTTTGACCATACAACGTGTTTGATCAATGCCTCAACTGCTAGAAATCTAAACGCATGCATAATGAATGGATTTAAAAGATTTAAGCACGAAGAATAATTACTTAATATTGTAATTTATTTTATATTTGAATATAGCTTACATTGATAATGGTTAGATAACAAGTGGACCGATGTCTATAGTATACGAGGGTGGGTTG